GGTATGACTTGGTATAGCTTATTTTGTCTAAATAATGATTTAACACTTTCCCAGATAAATGCTAGAAGCATTTGCTGAAACTCTTTTGGCCTAAAGCTGGTTGAAAAGCCCGAAAGGATTGAGTGTTGCTGACCTGTATAGTCTTTAACCCTTTAAACCAGGGATCAGTTCCTCACTCTCATGAACACGTAACTTACATGTTAGTTTCATTGTAGTTCGTGAATAATTTGTAGTAGTTACTGAAGTCTTAATACCTTAATAATAAGAAATATAAAATGCAAACTGACAAAGAAAACATGTTTATTTGCATTAAAAATCATTTAAAAAGCTACACACTCAAGAATGGTTCTACAGAGGACCAACATAAGGTTCTATGACCTGTGACAGTAGTTTTTTTTACAGTATAGAGCCATTTTTTTAATATTCCTTAAAGAAACACATACAAGAGAATCTCTGTCTTTGAGAAGAACCATTTGACCATTCAAATAACTTTGTAGTAAAGCCCATACCCCATTTTTATTTTTAATTTTAATTTTATTTTTCCCATGAGGTCCAGTTATAGCATTTGTGTGGGTTTATGTACAAAAAAACATAAATCATGCTAGCATTACTATTTTCTTACCTCTCTTTATCACTTAGAATAAAACAAGCTGTTTTTGTTACTCTGCCTTTAAGACCAAGCTCTGTTCTGATTGGCTGTCCTGTACTGGGCCTCATTCACAAAGCAGCCCAAACTGAAACACTACTTATAACTTCAGCGCAATTGGGTGGAGCTAAACTGCTGTAGGCTGAATACATATAAGTGTGCTTTTTCTTGTGACATCACAAATGAGTGAATTCGGCGGTTACATAGTCTATCACACTATTTGTTTTAAAAAAGGCAAGAAAAAATTCAGTTTTATATGATATGGAGCCTTTAAGCATTCAAATGGTTCTTTGAGTTGTTTGGTTCTATATATAACTGCTGCCTTCATGAAAGAGCCCTCTTTAATAAAGTAGGTGCCCCAAAACCTTTGAGAGACAGCGTATGTATTCTCTTGGAGTATTTATAGTATGGATCTTGTTATAAGGCCCAAGTTCAGCTATTGAAGTTACATAAACAATACGAGGCAGGAGATGAAGCCATCAGCACTGTGCTTAAGTGGGTCACCCATTTGAACGGCAATTAGTTCCCAGCAGCTTCTTTTGGAGTTCCCTGGAGGAATGGGTAGGAAGTGAAGTGAGTCTTTAGCCCTGCAACATTCTGCAGCGTGTCCCTGGACGGCTCTGTGAGCCAGAAGCCCTTTATCATCGCTAGACTGATCCATTTCCCATCGCAGATGAGACCCAGACACACGCACACGTTTAGTTTATTGCACACGGATGTTCGGATGTGCCCATCTGGCCTGGAGCAGATAGATATCCTTGTGTTATACACAAACAGTACAGTCTTCGCCCAGAGTGCGTGTTCCTAGTTGACCGTCAGACAGTCTTTGAGAGAGTGAATGTTCCTATATTCATATATGTTCCTACATATTCTTACTATAGAGATGGGTAACAATACAACGTGTCATAGGATTACGTTGTATCCCATTATATTGTAATATATCATATTGTATCATTATGATGTGGCTAGCATGTTTAGATTGAGGCACTATAAAGCATGGCTGTTGTTTAGTGTTTCTATGCTGCTAAGAAAGCAGTCTGATGTGTCCTTGTACGTTTATAATGCTGAAAACTTTTATGAACATTCAACCATTAACATATTATTGAATGGAGACACCACTGTATCATATTGATTTATGAATATCGTATATTGTAACACCCCTAAGACTTACTCTGTCACTCATTGCTGTATAAGCTTATGTACTGTAAAGTAAAACTGTCAACATGCTGTAAATTGTATATTTTTTCCATTTTTTAAGAATGTGGGAAAATGGACCTGTAAATTACAGCAACAAAATGTACTTGTAAAAATACCTGTCATTTGCTGTTAATTAACAATATTTTTTAGTGTTACTTATGAAGCCTGTATGAACCCAAAAAATTGAGATTTGTTCCCTCAGTATGTCACAGTGGTTAAAGATGATATTATAATAGGGTTCTTTATTTTTGCAAAAGACATCTAATCCATTAAACACAGAAGTTTTTGGGAAAGTGGAGCTACCAAACCAGTATTGCTACTACATGCTTTACTGGCTGCTTGTTTAGATGTTCCTGCAGTTTTACTGGACAGAGTTTCAGTTACGGTGAGATATTATCACAGAAAATTGCAGTAGTCACATCTGTGCTGTTTGAAAAAAACTTTGCATTTATGTACCCTTTTTTTCACATAATTTGAAAGTGCCAGCTGCTGTTTATCCATCGTCAGAACCTCACTGTGAACGGACCAATGGAAATAGTCTAAAACGATTCTGGATAGAAATTAGTTACATTAACTTGTATCAAAAGTTGATAATGTTTTTTTTTCTTCTCCTGTAAAATTAGGCCTAATTTTTACACATACAAGGCTGTGTTCACTCAACGACAAAGCATTTGTTTATTTTCCAGCACTTTCATGTGTTTATATACGGTTCTATGCAAAAGTATGAACACACACCCAAATGACATGTACTGTTGTTTTTCTAAGTGAAAGTGAGTCAACACGTCCTCTACAGAGAACAAACCATATGAATATGCCATTTTCTGCTAATTTTAGTCCACACTCTCTGTTTATCTGCTGAGTTTAACATATTATGTTAACATTTCATTTAACATTTTATGTTTTATTTTTCCCCAATTCAGTTAATTTCAGTAAATAAACTAATTGTGTGTTAAAATGTACAGTAGTGTGTTTTCTGTTGAGGATGTATTTGAATACATGTGCACAGCTGTTTATATATAAAACAGGTGATGCCTGTAATATGTGTTCATTTTAATGTAAGTGTGAGGTGAAATAACAGTCAGTGTAATTAAAGTAAGAGCTAGGGTTCACCCGGTCGTCAGGAGATGGTGGGTTTGAATCTCAGCGATGCCATCTGGGGCCGGGAGTCCAAGAGCGTGTGTGTTAGAAGCTTTGTGCAAAATAGTGAGAGAGACACTGAACTTTACTGCCAGACCTTTTACTGTTTTTTTAGCAGTGTGTTTAAAAGTGCTATCTTTATAAATTATGCCACAGTACACTTTTCTGAACATATCAGAAAATTATGGGCATCATCATTACTACTGATGTAGTACTCAAGTCTGGCCTTGGTCTTTGGTCTTGATGTCTTTTTTTCTCTCTTTACTGAATATCAACAAACCTTATCAAACAGATATAAAACAGAATAAAATAGACTTTTCTCCACATGTTTAAATTAAATCCTAAAAGAAGAAGGACAGAAAATAACAAACTCACTAAAATCATTTACCTCCAAAAGTTGCAATTCCACTGTAGAAAGTATTAATAATTATTAATAATATAATAATAATAATGTTTTCAGGCTATATATTAATGTTATATTTTTCAACACATTGTATACAATAAAATATTGTTTATTAGTATATATCATGTATAATAAATGATAATGAACGTACAGTTAACTAGTTTTTTTTCCCGCTTCCTTCTTTTTATTTTATATTCTGAAAAACATCTCAGTCGTGTCTCAGTCTCAGCCACTCCCTGATGGGTCTTATCTTAGACTCGCTTCTAGTGATCTTGAGTGCTACAATTGTATGTGTCACAAAAAGAAAAAAAAAAAACAGATTTAGACCAAATACAGAGATCCTGTAAACAAAGCAGTACAGTAATTGGACATTGTTTTCTTTTTTACCATGTTTGTGTATGTTTTTTTTTCTCTCCTCTTCCTTCTGAAATACTTAGTTTTTGCTCTTATTGAATAAGAAGAGTTTGTGTACTACTGCTTTTCTCTAGTCCTTTTATAATTTGGCAGGTCTGTTTTTCTGGTGCGTCCCTGTCTGTGTCACCTCGTTCACAAACCTCAGAAACGATCGTGATTCATATTGTCCACCTTTGCGTTTCACTGTTTTTTTCCTGCTCCGCTTCACTCTGCGATGATAAGTGAAGGCGGCGTCTGTACGTGTTGAGATCTGTACTGTCTGATGATTCCAGTGATTCAATTTGCAGCATCATCACAGGACGCATCTTTCATTTGTGAGACGCAAACGCGCTGTTAGTCATTTTACATCTGAGCTCATTTCTCCTTCAGTACTTAATGAAGACTTCACTTCCGCATTTGATTGTCGGGTGTAGTGCCAGAAATGTGATTATGAAGGAGGTTTCTGAAATCAAATGATCACCCCATTCTCTCTCTGTTTCTCTCTCTCTCTCTCTCTCTCTCTCTCTCTCTCTGTTTCTCTCTCTCTCTCTCTCTCTCTCTCTCTCTGTTTCTCTCTCTCTCTCTATTTCTCTCTATTTCTCTCTCTCTCTTTCTCTCCGTCTCTCTATTTGTCTATCTCCCTCTCTCTCTCCCTCTCTCTGTTTGACTCTCTCTCCTTCCCTCTCTCTCTCCCTCTCTCTCTCTCCATTTCGCTTTTTCCCTCTCTTGTAATATCTCTCTGTCCCTCTCCCTCTCTTTCATTCTTTCTCTGTACCTAAATATGTTTGGTGTTTTATTTTATTTTCTCTCTCTCCCCTTCATCTTTTTCTCTCTCTTTTCCTATCTCTCTCACTCTCTCTCCCCCCTTTCTCTCTTTCCCTCTCTCTCTCTCTCAAAATATATATCTTGTGCTTTTTTCACTTTCCCTCTCTCACTCTGTCTCTCTCCCTCTCTTTCTCTTCCGTTCATCTCTTTCTCCATCTCTTACTCCCTCTCTTTCTTTCTCTCTTCCTCCCTCTTTCTCTCTCTTTATTTCCCTCTCTCTCTTTTCTCTCTCTTACTCTTTCTATTTGTCTTTTGTCTCTCTCTCTCTCATCCTCTCTTTCTCTCTCTCTGTACAAAAACAATTATGTTTTATCTCATGAACTCTCTTTTTCTCAATCTTTTCCCATCATCTCTCTCTCTCTCTCTCTCTCTCTCTCTCTCTCTCTCTCTCTCTCTCAGGCCGCTGGCAGGATGTCGGACTCTGTGGAGCCGGAGGGGAAGGAGTTGAGTCCGGTGGATTTTATCCAGTTGCAGCAGTACATAGACTGTGAGTCTCGCTCGCCCACACACTGCTCTGCTCAGCCTTAGCCTCACACTCCTCTCAGCACCACCGACGTGTGAATGTGCTCACTGCTGTGTGTGTGATGGGAGAGAAAAAAACTAGCCTGTAGCTTCATGTCAGAGTTTCAAAGAAGCATATTTGATTCTCTAATATACTAAAAAAGGGATGGATTGGTCTACATGTGCATATCATTTCAACATGCATACAATATATGATGTTAAATGTCCAGAACTCAGTAAACAGAAAGACAAAACTGTGTTGCTGTAAAATGTTATTCATATTGAAAAGATGTACATCTTTTAAATCTCAAACACACAATGACACCTTATTCAATTTAAAAATTGATAGAAGTAAATGACCTGCTGCTATATTCTCCATGCAGAGCACACACCACACTTTTTGAGCAGGTAGCACTGGTGCTAGAAAAGTATTGTAGAGCATTGTAGCACTGAGATTAAAAAGAACTACATGACAGTACTTCTACAAAGTATTAATCCCCATAAATAGACAGAACAGCAGCAGCATGCCACAAATTTTAATTTAAATGTTGGAAATATAAATGTTATTTCTAAAATATTATGTTTGAAAACAGTACACAAACATGATATTATATGTTTTATCAAATTAACTTTTTTTTTTGTAAAAATATGCTCATTCCAAATTTATTGCCAAAATAGCTGAGACAGGAGCATGTTCCCCACTGTGTTACCTCACATTTTCTGTAGACAACTCAAAAGCAGTTGCTTGGGGACCGAAGACACCAACTGATCCCATTTTGAAAGCAATTTTTTGTTGCTACAAGTCTACAAGTCGTATACAAGTCTTCAGCTGCACAATTGTACAGGGCTTTCATTGTTGTATTTGTGCTTCATAATGTACCACAAGTTTTCAATGGGACTGCAGACAGGCCAGTCCAGCACCTGCACTCTCTGATTACTCAGCCATGCTGTGCAGAATGTGGCTTAGTGTTGTCATGTTCAAAGTGTGGATGTCCCTTAAAAAGACTATGTCTAGAAGGCAGCCTTTGCAAAAGAGTTAATGGTGCTCTCATAGATGTGCAAGTTACTTACTGATACGTATGACAGCCTATGGCTTTTGAACTTTATGCTGGTATCAACCTGCATGGTCTTTTTCCTTTTTGCCCAGAAAATAATTTCCATAAACCGTCTGAAAGTTTGGCTCGTCAGACCACAATACACGTCTCCACTGTGTATCAGTCCATTTCAGATGAACTCGAGCCCAGAGAAGTCAGTGGTGTTTCTGGACGTTGTTGATAGATAGCTTCTGCTGTACATAGTACAGTCTTAACCCCTTTAAGTCCCAGTGTTATTACATACTAAGGCTTTTTATTCAGTATCTACAGGCACTTCAGTGCAAACTAGTTAAACTATTCTTAGGTTATAGCAGTGTGTAATAAAATTTTGGCCCACCAGCAGGCCCTGGCCATGAAATGGGTTAACTGTGTATATTGTGTTTATTGACAACAGTTTGTCAAATTGTTCCTGAGCGTGTGTGGTGATCTCCATCACCAAAAGGGTGGTTGTTTTTAATGCAGCTGAGGGATCAAAGGTTATGGGCATTCATTTGTGGTTTTTGGCCTTGGCCTTTATGCACAGATTTCTCCATTCCCTGAATCTTTTGATGATAATATGCACCATAAAATCTTTGCAATCACTCATCGAGGAATAGTTGGGTTATTCACTGTCATATTTTTTGGCAAAGCGACCCATCCTTGTTCAGGAAGGGCTAGGCCCTTCCTGGAGTTCCTTTTATACCCAAGCATGATTGCGTCAGCTGTTTAAGGTGGTTTTTGAATATTTCACAGTGTTCCTAGTCTTACTTTTTTGGAGCATATTGCAGTCATCAATTTAGAAGCAAATATCTACAAAAAACAATGAAATTCATGATGCATCACTTTTTTTCAGTGTAGTCTGAAAGCTGATGTTTCTTTCTCTTTCTCTCTCTCTCTCTCTCTCTCTCTCTCTCTCTCTCTCTCTCTCTTTTACAGACTGCAGTTTGAAGGTGAAAGATGTGCTGAGGGAGTTTGATGCAGATGGCCGCTTGGCGCAGTACAGGCACGGAGAGGTGAGAGAGGGGCTGCCAGTGTCAAACGCTTCACAACACACTGCCTGCCCTTTTCATTCTGGCAGACCACCACTCAGAGGGGACTCCTCTGTTCCTCTGTGTGCGGCAGCGCGTGGCCGAGCACAGCACTCCCACACACAGACACGAGGCTTCTACACATGTCTTCATGTTTGATCCTTACCAGTACATGATCATCACAAGAATGGCTGTTTTTAACGAAAACACTATGATCATACATGCCATTATACCCACTGTATAGCTATTAGTGTCATTGTCCTGTCTATTTAACTAATTACATAGTTATATATGTGTAATAATGTGATTACATCATAAATTACATATTTAAGTAAATAATTACATTTAACTCAAATTTACATTCTGCACTGACAGATTTGAGTCTGAGAAAAACTTATTTAAGGTACACATTTGGACCGTAAAACCATTTTTGTGCCATTTTGTAGCTTTTAAAATTAATGAAACATGTAGCTGCACAGTACCTTTTTTTCTGACACTGTACACCAAAATGTTCTGAGAAATAAATGAAAAAAATATTCAACTGTTTCTATATCACTGTTCAAATTTAGGCAGTTTGTTACTTTGACCATGCTAAGGATTTTATACAAAAGGGTCAGGGTTTTTTTTTTAAACAAAAAGGTCAGATTATTACATCTGGAATCCATTCTAACACAAGTGAACACTGTCATTCAAATAACTTCTGAAATTTCCTTGTTTTGCTGCTAATTTATAACGAAAAAAATTGTATTTATTTTATAAATAAAATAGCGTTTTCACTAGCCGTCTTTTGGGCCTCATTGCACAGTTGTATGCAAAACTTTGAGCACCCTTTTTTCTAAGTAAACTCTAAAAAGAACACATTTGAATACACAATTACTGTTTATTTGCTGAATTTATCATACTGGAAACAACATAAAATGTAGCCTGGGCAGATGTTAAGGCACATTTTTTCCATGTTGAACGCAAATAAATTGAAACTGCACAATTTGAATGTGTTCTCTATAGATGATGTGTTCATTTTAATTTCATGCAGAGAATTAACATGTCATTTAATGAAAATAAAAGCACAGATGCTGATTAAGATCCAGTTTGTAGGCAAGTGCTGTGCTTAGGCTCTAAGGGAGCCAGTGCTCTATGAGAGTTGTTTTGTAAACATGCACGCTCAGCACACAGGCATACAGTGCACAGAGCGCGACAGCTATTGTGTCATCTGACTCCACTGAGCTCAACTTTCTCATGCCTAGAAATATGACTGAAATATGAGGAATGTCAGTGTGGGATATGTCTTATGTTCTAGTCTACAAGACCAACAGAATGCTCCTGATTTATTTATTTATTTATTTATTGGTCAAATTTTTTGACAAATTTTTAAACCCAAAGTGCAAAACACATAGGTACTTACTTATTTAATATATATAGGACATATTATTATGACATTACATTACATACTGTGCTGTGTAAAAGTTATAGACTGCTCTGATGGAGTAAATCTCCCAAAATAAATGGAAGCTATAGTAAAGATAAAGGATGGACACACTAAATACTGAAACATATGACATTATGTTTAGTCACTGAGTTGCTTAGTTGTGAACTTTTCTGTTAAATATGTTTTTTAGATGCTTTTCTGGCACCAAAAAATGAATAACTTATTCTGAGTGGCCACTTTGAATAGAATTTAAGTATAATATAATAGTCTCTGACCTGAGAAATGAGAAATAAGTATGGGACATATCATCACTGACTGAACAAAACCTTGTATCTCCAAAAAAGTAACTTTACTGGAGACTTTCAATGGAAGTTAACATGACATGTCAATTTGGACCATTTGTTTTGGCCTGTTTGCCATGAAATGTTGACAAAAAAAAAAAAAAATTGACAGAAACGGTGATACATGTTTTTTGTTTCGACAGTGATGACATGTATGACCACACAACACTGTATAAAAACAAACCGGTTTCTATGTGCGTGTGTGAGACAGGGCTCCAGCATGCGTCATCATTTTTCCACTTTTACAACAAAGGAGCACAGGTGTCCGCAGGGCTTTTGAAGTTTAAGTATGTCTCGCAGAAAGAGGACAGCAGGAGTGTTTCTGTGCTGAAAGAGAGAACGAGGTTTGGGTTTGTAGTGCAGGTCCAGCGGGACACCTCATCAGACTCCCCTCAGGAGTCCCTCTGTTATTGTTCTGCCCGTTCCTGTGCATTTTTAGTGACCTCTGCTTTCTTACCTATCAGCGATACATTCAGAGACGGTGTGTTTGTCTCATTAACTCATTAAAAGCTGCTTGCAGAGTAGTTGGCGAGCTTGCGTGTCCATGTTGGTAAATAAAATAAATCAGCATGTGGAATTGGAGCTTGCTGTGTGCTACTGTGTTTTCTATCACTGTATAAAAGAAGCTCCATGCTGCCTGTACTTTTGGATGTGCTGTGATTCTGACTGAGAGTGCACCTACATTCAGGATGCGATTTGCATGGTTATGGAACCACTTATTATTATGCCTCAGCATTAGAGGGGTTAAAGCACCCATTAAAAGTGTCAGCTTTTAGACAGCACTGGTGAAAATGACAAATGGGTTCATTTTGTATTACGTAACAGCAAGGTACTCTTGCAAATAGAACCTGTTGAATAATTCACAGTGTGTGAGAGCGATAGTGATAAACGAGTATGCAGAAGCACTCCAGCTGGTTCATTATTGAAAGGACGCTGTTTGTCTCTTCCACATGTCCTCAGTGCATCGATGAGCATGGCTTCCGGCTCTTCCTGAAGACGTATCTGGAGGTGGAGGATTTCCCAACGGATCTCTGCCAGCGCCTCTTCAGATCCTTCCAAACCTCAGACCAGACCAGTGAGTATCTCTCCCTTCACTCTCTCTTCTTGTTTATCATGGCAACTTCACTCGTCTACAGTTGTGTTTTTTTTTTAATGAAAGAGTTTTACAAAACACGCCGTTCACTCACCAGCATGTGTATATATATATATATATATATATATATATATATATATAATATATATATATATATACACACACACACACACACATACTGGTGGCTGTTGTCAGAACAAAACCTCATATCTCCAAAATGATAACTTTAGGTAAGAAAAAAACATACTTTACTTAAAAAGTAAGTCAAGTCATTTTTCATGTTCTGACAGTGTGTGTATATACATATATGTATATATGTATATATATATATATATATATATATATATATATATATATATAATGTTTGTGTGTGTGTATGTATAGCGCTGTTGTCAGAAGAAAACCTTGTATCTCCATTTTTGACATTTTTCAGTTTTTGACATAATTTGAAAATGCCTGTTGCCCTTTACATTGTGTGTAAATTTCATGATGAATGGATCAATGGATGACCCAAAATTACTTGGACAAACGTCTGGTTCCATTGACTTACATTAAAAGTAGGGTATGTTTTTTGCTTCTCCTGTAAAGTTACCATTTTGGAGATATGAAGTTACTGAGATCACTATTTGTGTATTATATTTGTTTTATCCCGGAAAGGAAAATATACAGGCCTACAAACAAGTGAAACATGACGGTTTTGCTTGAATTTGCTTTTTTGTCCTTTCCTACTCTGAAACACAAGTGCCTGAACATGAGCGTGTTGCCAAGGACGTGGTGTTAAGGACGTGGATGAAAAGGCAGAGATAGCACAGCTGTATTGCTTACTAGGCTAGCTACTCTAGCTGATGTTAGCTATGTCCAGAAACAATAAAAATATATATCTCTGACAACTAACATGTTGGCAGAAAACACTTGTGTAGAAGACAAGAAGTCCTCATCAGCATGCACGCAGCACACTGGGTCATTAGGTCATCTGAAGGGGCAGCCCCTGTTACTCACCCAACACGAACACTGACACGACCAATGTCCCTTGGCTGTTTTTGAGTAATAAAAGACGTTCCTCTGCTTACTGCTAGATTTTTGTGCATCAATAATGCTGCAGCCCTGGTTCATTTTCTGCCAAAGTTCATTTTTATGTAAATATCTATGATACTTGAATATCACAATTAGTCAGATTGCACATCCCAGAGTCGCTGTCAAGGATGTGTATGGGTGCTTGGTTAACCATTTGAGGCGGCAGTATTTTAATACTGAAATCACTGTATGGGTCATTGTTATGATTCATTGCAAGAAAACGGAGAAAGTATACAGGCTAACAGTTCAGTGAAGCACCAATTTTATATTTGAACAGGACTGTAAACTGTGAGAGTTTTGCTACACTTTGCTACTATGAGCAGTGACATGAGGTGGCAATAACCAATCAAAAAATGGAACACGCTGCACTGACCCTGGTTTCTGTGGAAGATTTGTTCTGTTGCATTTGCATAAAAATGTAGGCAAAGCTGATCACAGCAATGTCTGAGGTTACCATGCTGTATGCAGTCTGTGTTTAAATAACGTTACTGGGACCTCAATAAAAAAGAGGTGTAGTAGAAGAAAGTGTCCTCTCATTTTGTAACGATGACCATGACAATGAAACTTCAGTGAAATGATAGCTTAGCATAGCCTCGTTGTGAACTGAGCTTATGTTACAGGCTTAGTTAACTGTTTTGTCTAATGGATAAGAAAAGACAGATGCAGGTCATCAATGATCAAGTGAGCAAAACGGTTTAGCCAACTAATTTGGATATCTAAATTCAGTTATTCTTGTCTCATGTGTTGTTAGTTAATAAATATAGTCTACACTGGCTAAGCGCTGGGTGGTAGTGGCTCCCATGCTGTTAAAAATGAACCACACAATCCGGTCAAACTTGCTGCTTGCCTGTTCTCACTCCAAAACCAGCAACCAGTCGAAGGCTGCCCAAGCAACACTGAGGGATTGTATCGCTGACTGTGTGGAGAGAGCGTGGCTGGCTCTGACGCTGCATTTTTGCTAACTTTTTTGGCTAACTACTCTAGCTGAAGCTAGAACCAGAAACAGTGAAAAGATATTTCTCAGAAAAACGAACATGTTGGCACACCGTTCACAGAGGAGAAAAGACCTCATGAAGAAGAAAATGAGTCCTCATCAGCATCCAACGTTGCACTGATTAGCTCTAGTGAACCTCCGTTACTCATCTGACAGGAAAACCTACTGAAAGCGTTCGGCTGTCCAGTGATGTTGCGTGAGTGGCAGTTCGAAAAGAAGCGGTGGTTGGTTTCACAGGTCTCAGAGGAAGCCTGTGTTAGCCTTCACCCTCTTAGCGTGGATAGCATTGTGTGACTGGGGGAGTCCTGACTAACAGGTGGAATTGGAAACGACTAAATTGGGGAGAAAATCGGGTAAAAATCCAAAAAAAACATCAGAAGACGTTTTATAGGCAGAGCAAATGTGAGTAAATTTTGATGGAAGATTAGAGAGACAAGAATTTTGTTTTTTAATTGATATGATATGATGAATATGACCAGGGACATGAACTATCAAGGTAAAACAAGTCAGGTAGACTTAAAACGTTGTCCGGTTCCTGGCTGTCAGGAAGCAGATTTATCAGTGCAACTTCTAAAGGATGTAGACGTGTCAAAGGAATGGCTGAAGGTTATTTTTTTTAAGTTTGTGGCTGATTTCTTGCTTCTTAGGTGAAGCAGAGAACAATGAGGCCAATCAGAAGAGATCATTTACATATATTAAAGGAACAGCCTGTTTAATTCTAAGGACTAAAGAGATGTTGGAAAAATGAATTGTTACTGTTTTAGTGAATGTATTTTCAGGGAAAACATGCAGGAAAAATTATTAATACGAACTTTTAAGTTTTTCTTAATGTTGTCTACATGTTTCATGAACCACAAGGAATATTAACACTGTGCACATTTCTCTAATTGATGTAAACACCTTTTCGTTTGCTCTGCTTATTGTTTTGTCTCTGTCCCGTCTCTAAGGGGAGGTCTTTCTTAAAGATGTGTCCTGTTATTTCTCCCTGCTGGAGGATGGGCAGCCCCGAGACAAACTGGAGTGTGAGTTTTAACTTGTTCTAACATGTGCCTGTTTCCATGAGCTCATAGGATCTGAGAGCTAAATCCCATCTCTTTTTTTCCTGCAGTCGCTTTCAGGCTTTATGACAGAGATGGCAACGGCGTCCTGGACAGTTCAGTAAGTGGCTTTTGGGACTTTTAGTGGTGTTTTAGCTGAAAAGGGCATTTAAGGAAATAGCAACTCGGTGAGATTGACTTTGGAGCTGTTTATTAAATATGCATTATGTTTACGCTGCCCAGAGCAAATGCAATTATTGTCTACTAGAGGGGCCATTAGAGCATCTGTTCTGATACATTTAACCCTTTATCTCTGCCTTTTAGTGGAAGATTGCAATACAAGCTTTTCACATTTTTTATTAGGACAACATACTTGACCTCATCAGATGTTTATGAATGATGAGAAAAACCTGTTAATCAGCTTTGTGAAATCTCCTCTTTCCCGTCGGTAGGAAGTGGACCGGATTATTGCCCAAATGATGCATGCAGCCGACTACCTAGGCTGGGATGTGTCAGAACTCAGACCTGTGAGTTAACCGTTCTGTCTGTATGTTTATGTTTGTCAGAAGGAGTGAAATACCTTCATAATGTGCAACATTTTTTCTGCACCTTCTCCACCTTTGATGATAGAATTTATCAGAATTCCTTCCCAGTATTTACTGTAAAAGACTGCCAACTAAAATAGTACAAAACTCAAGTGGGGACTGCATCTGAAATGCTTTGGCCTGTATTCAGTTACAAACAGTACATGTTTTACTTTATGAACTTATAGTTTTTGGAAATATATACTCATTCCAAATCTGATACCTCCAACATATTAAAAAAAGTTAGGCCAGGAGTTTATTCACCACTGTGTTACATCACGTTTCCCTTTCAACTGGCTTTTGTTAATTGTTCCGGGGGGCTGAAGACACAAACTGATCCAGTTTTGAAATCATAATTTTTTGCCTTTCTTTTGTTATATATGTCTTGAACTGTGAAACTGTATGGGGCCTTTGTAGTCACGATTTCCTTCTTAAGGCATCACGTGTTTTCAGTGGGTGACAGGTCTAGCACCTGCACACTGATTATGCAGCCATGCTGTTGTAACACGTGCAAAATGTGGCTTGGTATTGTCAAGTTGAAGTAAGCATGGATGTCCCTGAGAGACATCAGCTGGAAGACAGCATGTGTTGCTACAAAATGTGTAAATGTCTTTCAGTATTAGTGGTCCCTTCACAGATAAGCAATTTACCCATGTTATGGGGACTAATAGACAGTGGCTTTTGAACTTTACACTGGCAACAATCTGGATGGTCCTTTTCTTCTTTGGCTTGGAAAACACAACGTCCATTATTTCCATAAACATCTGAACGTTTGCCTCGTTACACCACAATACATTTCCACTGTGCATCAGTCAATTTTACATGAGCCTGAGCCCAGAGAAGTTGGCAGAGGTTCAATGTTATTGACATACGACCTTTCACCGTGTGTAGTACAGACTTGACTTGTGGATCCAGTGACGAATGGTGTTTATACTGGTTTTTAACACAGTGTTGTTAATGCAGTAAAACATTAAATATCTTGTATTTGTATTGTTTCTGTGTCAAATCACTGCTTTGTTTTTATTTTCATTTCACATACTGTCCCAGCTTTTTTTGGAATTGAGCTTGGTAAATAAAAATGTGACACATTTGATTTATATAAAAGTAGATACAAGAAAAGTTCTCTATACTTGGATATTTGATTTATGTTAAATGTGATAGCAGGATTATATGCATTTTATCAGGAAAACAGATTACCATTGATAGTACCGTTTTTTACTTTTTAGCAGCATATGTACACTATATGTGCTGTTATTCTTTTGGGCACTAACTATGGGTATCTTGAAAAATGTATTATTATTATTATTATTATTATTATTATTACTATGTTTTTCAACCTCAGTCTTTCAGCAAGTTAAATCACTACAGTGAGTTACACAGGTAGGACACACACTTACACCATGCTCACTCTCTCTGTCTCTCCCTCTCTCTCTTTATCACTCTCTCTCCCTCTATAGGTGCTGAAGGACATGATGACAGCGATTGACTCAGACAGCAGTGGAACTGTATCGCTGGATGAGTGGGTGGAGGGGGGGATGAATAACGTCCCTCTGCTGGTCTTACTGGGACTGAAGGTGAGACGCACACAAATACATATACACAATATGTGTATCTGGAAATAGACACGCACACTTACACATGATCAGTCATTAGAGGTACAGTGCTGTGCAAGTCTCAGGCCACCTACATGTACACTCATGTCACGCAGCCATAAGGATGCTAGATTATGTTCATGATTTCTATTTATGAACATATGCAGTGGGGTACAAAAGTCTGAGACCAGTAGTAAAAAAGTTGCTATTTAGCATTCTTTTTTCATGTTTTAATACAAATCATATTATCATCATAACAGCTTAAGTGAAAAGTATAATCTTTGAAATACTATATGAAATTAAAATTCAGAATTTCTTAATAATTAGTATACACCCCTTTTTGCTTTAATGACAGCGTGCACTCAAGCTGGCATGAGCTCCAAAAGTTTGTGCAAAAGCCTTTGATGCGTAGGCCAAATTCACCCGAGAGTCTGAGCAAGAGCTTCAATAAATAAGAAAAATCAGAACTTTTTGTACAAAGGCTTTAAAATGGTCAATGTCACAAATTACGCTTCAATAGTGGCCTAGAAATAGTGCAGAATCTTGAATATTTCTTCTCTGTTTTACTTTTTTACTTTTTACTTCAAAATTCTCAAACATTGTGCTTGTTTATTTCCAGGTTTAAATAAAACAAAATCCAAGATTCTCAGTGTGGTCTCAGACTTGGACCCCACCGTATCTTCAGTTAAAAATTCAAGACAGTTATCTGTAAAAAGAAACAACAAAAATTGTTGCTGTAATCGTGAAACATGACATTTTTAATTACTTATAAGTTTATTAATATTTGTATGTATTTATCACAAGGGGACAAAGCCTAGAGGCAGGACATGCAGAATACGTGCCAAAATGAAAAACAAACCCTCTATTGCGTTGTTTTCACGTCACTTGACTTCTTTACTGAAAAAATGCTTGAGGATTTGCATTTTAAAACATTTTTAAAACTTATCAGAATTGAATACAATCCGGCTTGAAATAAATTGTAATAAAGACATGACTGTACAGCTTTCCACTGTGCAGTACTTAAAACAATGTAAATCAGTGTAATGGACCCTTTACTTTTCATTTTGCCACATTTTTCACGGTATTGTGTGCACTGAATTTCAGTGTTTTAGTTGCATTTCAATGAGGCAAATGCATTTGAAGTATAAATAAAGAGGTGAAGCGACATAAAAAAAACATCTGTTCAAAGTACTGCATGGTGTAAAGCAATATAGCCGTCCCCTTTCAAGTAGATTGTATTTAGTTCTGACATGAATTCAGCATTTTGTTTTTAAATGCAAATCCTCATGCATTGTTTTTCAGTAAAGAGGTAAAGCAACATGAAAATATTGTAATAGAGGGTTTGTTTTCACTTTGGCACATATTCTGCATGTTACTATGGAAAATCACAGAAAAATGTGCTGGTGGATCTCTTCTAATCAGCAAACAGCATTTCTTTTTCCTACAGTATTTCTACTTCACGATCGTTTTATTCCTGTTTCGCTTTAAAACAGAGGCAGATACTGTAAGGGTGGGCAGTGAGTGAGAGCCAAACTCCTCATATCCCCTTTCGACGTTTGAGACATGGGAAGTAGTGGTTTAGTTGGGCATGACATACGACACTGACAAGAAGTGGTGGGCTGAATTTATCTCTTCAAACATGTACATAATTTCCACACAAATAAAATATATTACATCAGTTATTGCCAAAAGTAAGGAAGCTGACTGTGTTGATGATGTAGGTTTTATTGATGTGGAAATGATTAACTTTCCACAGAAACTTTTTTCAGTGCTGTACTGAAACATGACATCAGCTGTACTGAGTGGTATTGCCTTTGAGATCACTTCACATTTTACACTTTTTTGCACAACATTCACACTTTTGTCCAACTGCCACAACACCAGAGCAGACCACCTCGTCTTTTTTTTGTTTCTCACCCATTCTCATATGCATTAACGCGTAGCTTCAATTCTATATGTTTTATCTGTGACTTCACTGGCAGCTAATTGTAAGTGAGAGAGTTCTCAGAATAGCAGTTTATTCTGAGCTCGTATGCTACTTCCTTGGAGTCATCTGCAAAAGTCTGAACACCCCCAGTTAAGTTGTTGATTTTCTAAGAGAAACGTTAACCCATCCTCTACAGAGAACAAATGTAAACAGTGGAAGTTTTCAGAATTATTTTAAAAATACATTGATTGACAGGAGGAACTTTTTACACAACAGTAGAACAACTGTAGCCAAACAAAATAACCTGAGAATTATATTTTGGTTGAAAAAAATAGCTTATGCAGTACTGTGCAAAAGTCAGAGACCAACCTTCATTTATATAATTTCCAGTGAAAAAGGCCATTAAGTGCACATTATTCATTTTTCAGAAGACATTTCTGATGAGATTCAATGTAATATAATCCACTTGTATGAGGAAGGAGAAAGTAAATAAGCAAGTGTTTCCAAAACTAGAGTTGAGAATGATTAAGTGCAATATGAAAAGGGGACTTCTAACAACCACCCACAAGATCTGGTAGACCAGCTAAACCCTCCCCATCAGATAAACAGCACTTAAAGCTTTCATCTTTGAGAGAGAGGAGAAAATCAAGCTGCTTCAGATCTGAAAACATCCACCGGTGTTTCTGTCCATCCTTCCACTGTGAGAAGACAACTCAGCGCTATGGGTCTGAAAGGATGTGTAACTGTCAAGAAGCCTTACAAGAAAACAGACAAAAAAGGACATGTGCAATTCCAACAAAGAAGCTGCTGGTGTTCTCAGAACAATGGACTGACCACCCCAGAGTCCAGACTTCAACGTCACTGAATGTGTTTGGGATTACTTGGATTATGAGAAGCGGAAAATGCAACCAGTGAACTTTGGAGGTGTGGAAAAATATCTCAGCAGATTTCTCTGAAAAACTGAAAGCAAGTCTCCTGAACAGAATGGAAGCTGTAATAAAGGCAAAGAGTGGACACACTAAAACCTGAAAAGTAGACATAAGTAGTAGATATGTAGTTCTTGAGGCCTCTGTGTAATTTGCTCTTAAATATGTTAATGTCTCTTTTGACTGGAAGTTAAGTAAATGAAGTCTCTGACTTTCACACAGTAGTGTACTTGATTAACATTTCAAAAGTAATGCAGTTGACTCACCACCTTCAAAACCATCACGATGCATTTTTGTGGCCTTTATCTCCTTTATGTAGTGCTGTTTATTAGTTTTTAAGTTAGTGATTCACACTGACACTGACCTTTCCGTTTGTTTGTGAGATATGAGCACCAACCTCTGGCTTAGCCACATATCAAGCCTAGGTACTTCCCCTTGGTCTATTTCTACCTACCAGTGAATGCTTGAGGTGAGAAGGGGTGCACTGTGTGCTCTCAGGGCTAGTCACAGTTTATTTTGGTGGCTTACACTTTCATATCTGTCTGTTTGTCTGTCTGTCTGTCTTGGGGCCTGGAGTTCTCTCTGACTCACACAAGCTAAAGGTTCTCTCACTAAAAAAAGACCATTGCTCAATTAAACAGTGTGCAACATTTCCATAGCCCCTCCCTGGACACCCACACATCAGTGCTGGTGTGAAATTTATGAGCACTGTTAAGGTTGTGGAGGGAACATATAATCAACAGCTAACAATCAAATGCATAGCTGTTTTACTAATTATTTATGCAGTGGGGCGACAAAGTTTATGAATATTTTTCTATATTATTTCTACATTCGGAACTAAAATGTGATCAAAACTTAATGTAAGTCATAACAATGGAAAAAACAACCCAGTAAAACAAATAACACAAACACAAATGTCTTTGTTTGGCAAAAACATGTGAAACTTTGTTTTCAGTAAGTGGTGCAAGCCCCTTGTACAGCAATGACTTTAACAATGTTTCTTGTGCTTCGACCATTCTTTGGTAGACTGACATATGTGTTTAAAGTCATTGGTCCTTCTGCAAGACCCAACTTCTCTTGAGCTTCGGTTCACAGACAGATGCCCTGATATTCTCCTGTAGAATTTGCTGATATAATCCAGAATTCACAGTGCCATCAAAAGATGACAAGCTGTCCTAGTCCATTGGCAGCAAACTGTGATACTGCCGTCATCATGTTTCACAGTTGGAGTAAGCCAGTCATTAAATTTTCTCATTTAAGCTATTTTCAAATTAGGAGTCATAGTCATTTGTAACACGTTATACTGCCAGTGCCAAAGAAGTAAGTTCCAGATTGCAGTGTCTTTATGAATAACATCTGCCTACTCATAATGCTAATAAGAGTATAGATTTCAAAGACATATGATATTGTAACCTCATTTTAAGATCTTGTATGTTGTGTTTATCAGCTCTAAATAAAGTGAGACATGTAACTTTATTCACACCATGACATTTGCAATGTTTTATTTCTCACCATGGGCTTTGATAGGGCTGGGCCTTGGGGGCTTAAGTCCTGAGTATTTAAAAGCCGGCCTCAAACAATTTGTCCTGCCCAAAGTTTATTATTAAACTTTCAGTTTCAAAATTAAATTACATCGCAGCAACCCAAGTACCCATCAGGTCCCTTCCTTAAAACCCCTCTGATATCACACTGCTCATGAATTGGAAAGAAGGTGGAAAGAAGGTGTGGAGAGTGAGAAGCAAGTTAGTAGAGAGCCATCATCGTCACACATACGCTTGGTTAATCCTCCAGACCCTCATTATCCCTAATTGTATACGGAACTAATGATTCTACAGGTTCATATATGTTTGCCAACAAACTTTGTTGAATAAATGAATGAGAAACTAGTTAATTGTTGTGTTATTTGACACAAAACAAGCTCAAGTAAACAAACAGAACTCACTACTGCCCTCTATAGGTGGTATAGCACCAGTCAGAAGTTAGAACTTTTGCTGGTTTGGTCTAAAAATATGATTTCTTTCTTTTTTACTTTTGGGTGATTATGTAATAATTGTGACGAACCTAGTACTATATTAGGCCTGATTTGTGCACCAATCTCAACATCTACAGCAGTATGAATCAGTGCACAGCTTAAAAAGTAGTGATGGCATGAATTTACTCAATTCAAATATGCACATCATGTCCACATGAAAAACATATATCAAAACAATTATTGCCTAAAGTAAGGAAAACGTTTGACACAAATGAAGCTGATGAAGGACGTGAAATTGTATAGATGTAATATATTTTATGTATGTGAAAATGAATGCATTTGGATCAAGTATGTTCAGTGCATCACTTTTTTTGGTCCACATAAGCTGCAGAAATGAGTGGTTGACCTTTGCAACCTCTGTAAGTGCTTTCTGTTCTCCCCTCTCAGATGACTCAGAAGGATGGACAGCATCTGTGGAGGATGAAGCATTTTAACAAACCTGTCTACTGTAATGTGTGTCAGAACATGCTCCTGGGACTGCGCAAGCAGGGCCTGTGCTGCACCTGTAAGTGTCCCTCGCCCTGACCCCTCAGCATTACGGCTTGTTCCCGAACGCCTTCTACTCCATAATCGCCTCTCTCTCCCTCTGCAGGCTGCAAGTACACGGTCCACGGGCGCTGCGCCAATAGGAATCCAGCTCCATGCAGTCGCACATATGTCAAGTCCAAGAAAGACATAGGGGTAAGATTACTCTAACCTCGAAATCATTCCAGACACGTTCAAGCACATGGGCACTGTAGCTCAGGAGCAGAGCTTTGTGAGGATCCTAGAAATCAGAGAAATAGATTGGTGAAAAATCAGATTTTCACGGTTTTACTCCCTACACTGTTAGAAATAAAGGTACTGTGCAGGTACATTTTTTATTTATCAAGGTACAAACAATGAAAATGTACCCTAATAGGAACAACAGTGGTTTTAAGGTGCAATTGTGTACCTTAAATAATTTTTTCCAATGTATTTGTACCTTTTTCAGAACCTGATGTTTTAAAAAAGGGCAATAAAATAAAAAGCCTGGAGACGAGACGGGGTGTGTGGAGTCAGTACAACTTACATGATATAATTTCAATGGATTATGGTACAATTATTTTTTCTGACTAAAGGTACTGAGATGAACCCTTGAGCGTACCTCCCCAGTGACAAGAGGGTTATTGCCCCAGTGACAGGGTCATACTTTTATTTCTGAAAGTGTAACACACTTGTAGTTGATCAGCTAAGACATGTTTGGTGTCTGAAGTTTACTTGTTTAAGGCCAGAGTACACTAATGGGACAAATGTAAAGAAACATGAACAAACACAAACATTTAGTAGGTGTTCCATACCAATGTTTGATTGTTGAAAGACTCTAAAATGTTCCCTTCCCATTCAGTCTAGTTCATTTTCATTACTCTGTTTCTTTTTCTGAACATTATAAGGACAACTGCAAACATTAGAATGTGTGTTTGTTCGTGTTTGTTCTGTCTGTGTACTCTGGCCTTCAGTTTCCCACTGGAGCTACATGGCTGATGTAGCTAACATACATGGACGCTAACTTGGGGTAAACATTGAGGGGCCAAAAAAACAAGAATTTTTAATTTACATCCTAACCTGATGACAGATGTTTAATTTAGGGGGAGGATGTTGATGTTAGAGCAGGAACCATGGGTGCATACATTTATTTAATACATTAAGTGAATAATAATTTATATGGTTTTTGTTATCATTCACTTTTGTGATAAAGTAGTTAATGTGTTTGCTTTGCACTGCTGTCATCCCAGGAAAATGGTATGTGATCTGTCCATAGTGTTAATGTATATGTTTGTTATGTGAAAATGTGTTTAAATGAAAAGACTACTTCCGCGAGGAGGGAATGACATGAAACATCTCGCTTTTCATTTCAGTGCTCGTGTAAATATGTCAGAGCTTTCACATAGAGAGTGCGAGCAGAGCAGCAGAGCCTCCCAGACTCGCAGTGAAGCATGCAGTATTTACAAAATAGACAAAGAGTTGAATTTTCAAGGTGCCTTGCGCAACACACAACAAAACACAGAGAAATAAGCTAAAAAAATCTATGAAAATGGAACAGAAAACCAAAGAAAACCTTTAAAAACACAGATTCTCTCATTCAGGACTGTTATTAAACAAAATACCAGTTAATATTTTGTGCTGAACACCAATTTTCCACTTGGTCCACCAGGCTGAAAACTATCAACAAACCACACATCGAGGGTAAACAAAGGTACACTGAGCAAAGCCATTGATTTGTCTGTTTATCCTTTTGGTAAAAGGACATCTTTAGAACTTTCTTACTGCTTTGCTCAGCAGAAAAATTGCTGTATGTATGAATGACCAATGAATGCGAGCTGTAACACACATCCGCGTGTCTTGCATTTTGTGATATCACATGCACGTTTGTCCTTCAGTAGGTTCAGAATGGTCAGCGTCAACTGCACTCTTCTGCCACTGCCCTGTGTGTTAATGTTAAATGCCTGTGTGTCTTTGGGTTGCCACTTATTCAACACAAGGATCAATATACACTCACATAATGATTAATTTGCGAACCTTTTTTCATGGCCGCAGTGCCTTTAGAAAGCAACTCCACAACTATATAAACTCTGCAAATCTGGCAACCCTGCATGATGGGGAAAAATCTTGTGAGTGAAACATGCACATGTGGAAAACAGCACATTATTTTCTGGTTGCCATAGTGATCCTGCAGCTTAAAATCCCTACAGTTAAATACTGTTTTTTGACTGTTCTATGCAGTTTCACTACCACGGCTTTTCTTGAGCTTTACACTAGGTTTGAGGAGGTGTTGCCCCTCTGTCTTTAGTTTTGGGAGTGTGAATGACCCTATGCCTCCCAGTAGTTGGCGCCTGTGCTAACATGTGATGAAAGTATTTGTCCCACTAGTTTGCATCATGAAAATTACATGCCTAAGTCACCACACCCTTGCCTCAAACCACTTCAAACTGATATCTAAAAGTAGAGACGTGCTTTAAGCTACTACTGCTGTATTTGTAGATGTGCTTTTGTCTATTTTTATAGATAACAGCATGTCATACAGGGTTAGAAACCACATAAACAAGTCTGCAAGACCTTAATGAAGATCTGAATGTGGTTTGAGAGAAATTTCAGGGATGTATTAATAGAAAAGATTCAGAAGACTGGAATTCTAGTATTTGTTAGCAATATTAGCCTCATAGCTCCTGTGTAAAAGCTAGAGAAGCAAGATTTGGACACCAAACATGTCTTGGCTGATTGACTCTTCTGGATTAAGTGAAAAATAAGTGTGTGAATTAGATTTTTCACCAAATTATTCCTGTACCACCTTGCTGCTAATTTGGCAGCTATAAACTTTCATTATATGTTAGCTACATTAGCCTCTAGTACAAGTTTAAAAGAAGCAAACTTGAGACACTAAAAACCTGTCTTGGTTGACTGACTACATTTGGGCTAACCACTTAAAATCCCAGGTTTAGTACATATTAAGGCTTATTATTCAGTAACAAAGACTTTAATGCAAACTGGCTAAGCAATTCTTAGGTTATAAAAGTGTGTGATAAAACTTTAGGCCTGCTGGTAGGCCCTGACCATATAAAGGGGTTAAGGGAGAAAAACTGTAGATTTATTTTTTGGCTGACTGTTTCTTTGAACTACTTTTTTCCTAGCAGGAATATTCCTTTATAAAGTGATAGCATACTTCATTCTTCACTCTTTCTGCCACTTCTGTGGGTGTGTAACCTTTTACTAAAGTGTACAGTCATGTGTGATCTGTTTGTCCAGATTTCGGCTCATGACTGGGTGAGCGGGAACTGTGACTCTGGGAAGTGCGACAGGTGTCAGAAGAAGATTAAGAGTTTACATGGCCTCACAGGCAAGCGCTGTGTTTGGTGCCATACTATGGTGAGACTCTTTTTGTTGCCTTTTTGTAATTGTGTTTTTTTTTAAATATATGGGGTATTACAGTTTTACAGTACAAAAAAAAACAGAAAATAGAGCATGTAAATTGACCATTTGCAAGATTCTAAGAAAGTCCCAATTCCCTTATAGTTGCCATCAAACTATGATGTCCATCAGACTTTCAGCTCAGGATGTCTGGCAGCGTCCCTAACACAACTAACAAGTACAAGTGCAACGTTAGATTTTCATGTCTAATAAGAAGGAGGTCTTAGCAACAGAAGCTGCGCTATCAGATGATCTAATGCTAAAGCTAACACAGAGCTGGTCAGAGGAATGGTAAATCCTGAAGAAGACCTCATCGTCTATTATGCAAAGTATTTCAGTAAACTTTAATTAAACAGTACCAAAACTGGTATGTGTAGGAGAGCTTTAACATTTATCTTTATATTTTTTAATCTGTACAGTCCCGTTTAATCTGACTGATTTATCAGGACAGCAGCTAAGCTAAGAAATGCTAACTAATTAGCTAATTGATCTTAAAATGCAGAAGTAACATCCTGTAACATTCTTTATGGTTAGACATCAAATTAAAGTGATTTGTAGCAAATACAGTAACTCAGATAAAGATAAAGATTAGCTTAGGTTACAGCCAGTATAAGGCCCAATCCCTCATTAATGCCTAAGGGCAGGGGGTCCCAATTTTTGTTGAGATAGAGGGGTAGGGCGAAGTGTTGGGGCTACACGGCCCTCAAAATGGAGGTTTTTTAGAGGCATACTCCAAACAGAGTGTTATGAGAAAAAAAGAAAAACCAGCAAGATGGCTGCACAAGCAGCCAAAGAAACCCACACATGTGAGTATTTTCTTTGTTAGAAACTTACGATAACCGTTGTGTTATATTGGTTTAGTGTCATTTCAGTGTATTATGATCCTTTTCTTCATAACAAGAATAAAAAAAAAAAAACGCTAGTAGTTTGCTGATGTCTGGGTAGCTAGCTAGCTAAATTTTCCTGTTCCGCTTTAAATGGTGCAGCAGTTACATTTACGAATTTGAACAAAAAGCTAGCTGACTTTAGCTTCATATCACCAAAGAATTAGGGGGTGGGCAATAATAAATGTCTCATCCCCCTATTTGAAGGCAAATGGTGCCCTAAATGTAACTAAAGCCCAGCGACGTTGCAGAACTTTATCCTCCTCTGCTGTCACTGCAGCCTACAGAACACCTCTAGTAGCCTGTTAATGAAGTCATGTTCCTTTTTTATTTGAGGGTTGTCCCATTTCATAGGGGAAGATTTCAAACACTATCCTTTGTAACTGAGAGATCCAAACCACGTTCAGCTTCAGGAATGACATAAAAACAGCTCCACCCTCCAGATGATCAGGACAGCATGATTCAGCCATAATATTTTCCTCAGTGACGCCTTTCCAGCCTAATAATATGGACTAATTTACTGCCACCATAGTTTTATTGCAGGTTTGTTTTAATGAGTTCTTCCTTCTGCTGACAGAGGAAGGAATGATCAGATGTTACTGTGATTGGCTGCAGGCTTGTCAATCATAGTTTTGCTAATGGTCAATTTAATCCCCTGTCCCCCTGTTGCCCTCTCCCCATGTGAAGCATCAGATCAAACCAAAGTAAAACAAAAAGGGCTGTCATTGTTGAACTCAGTTAAACTCAAAATGTAAATAGAAATTATCCATTATTGCTCGCAACAACGTCTATATAGACTAATTAATGCAATATATAATACCAAAATCAGTAACCGTAAGGATGGTTAAGTAAGACTGTGAACTCTTTTTTGTTGCCTCTTTATTGTAAGAGCTGAAGTTCTTGATGCTGATGTGCAGTTTTAAGACAGCTGATTATTTTTGGTTCCTCTGTACAGCGTCATGATGAGTGTGTGAACCAGGAGCCTTCAGAGTGTAACTGTGGTCCCTTGAGAGACCATATTTTACCACCGTGGGCCATTTACCCTGTCATCAAGGTAGCGTGTTTCAAGGCACTCCCAGGAGCATTTTCCATTTTCAGAACTCTCAGCATCCCCTTATGAACTGAGTGCTGCAGACAGCTATTACACATGGTTTTATTATAAGACACTCCGTAATATAAAACTGAATCATTTTGTTTATTATTAAATTGGCTGTTGCATAAATAAAGTTTTGCCTGTGGCTGCAGAAAGGAAAACAGATTCCATCAGTAACCCTTTGAACCACAGACATATTATTCAGCTATTAACCTCAAGACTTAATCAGTAACTACAATGAATTAAGTAAATACTATGAATTAATCAGTAACTACTATAAATTATTCAGTAACTACTCTAAATTATTCAGTAACTACTCTAAATTATTCAGTAAATACTATGAATTAATCAGTAACTACTATAAATTATTCAGTAACTACTCTAAATTATTCAGTAAATACTATGAATTAATCAGTAACTACTACAAATTATTCAGTAACTACTCTAAATTATTCAGTAAATACTATAAATTATTCAGTAACTACTCTAAATTATTCAGTAAATACTATGAATTAATCAGTAACTACTATAAATTATTCAGTAACTACTCTAAATATTCAGTAACTACTATTAATTAATCAGTAACTACTATAAATTATTCAGTAACTACTCTAAATTATTCAGTAAATACTATGAATTAATCAGTAACTACTCTAAATTATTCAGTAAATACTATGAATTAATCAGTAACTACTATAAATTATTCAGTTTCTACTATGAATTATTAAGTAACTATGAATTATCAAGTAACTACTATAAATTATTCAGTTTTTACTATGAATTATTCAGTAACTATAAATGATTCAATAAGTACTACAAATTATTCAGTAACTTCTATGAACTATTAAGTAACTACTATGAACTATTAGGCATGAAATATGAAGTATTAAGTAACTACTATGAATTAATTAGTAACTACTATGAAATTATAATTTGAGCTATAATCCACATATAAACCCTTTAGATTAATAATGGTTAATAATAAAAAATAGTTGAACTATTGAATAAGATTATAGCTCTTTATAGCATTATATTATTATTCATTTACATAAGTAATTAGTAGCTGCTTATGGCATTATATTATTATTCATTGTATTATTGCATAAGATTATGGCAACCTTATTGAATCACTCTGTTTTATGAATATTATTGTGCTTCTTATCAAGAAATGTTTCATTTGATGAAGTAAACATTATCATGTCACTCATCGTTGTCCTTCTCGTTCACGCAATCCTGTGCTCTTCTTTTCCTGTTTTTCAGGAGAGGCCAAACTGTGTTAAGAACGGTTGCTCAGGTGTGACAGACGACACTGACCACAACACTACACCTGATGGGCAGGTACTGCAGGTAAGTCAGAGTCTCTGGACTTACAGTAATTACACTGACTCTGCATCTGCTGTGTTACAACCGCTGGGAGAAACATTCCTGAGCTTTTTGGCTTGTTTATTTATTTAGTAATGAAGAAATGTATGTGAAAAGTAAAACAAAAATCCAGTGAGTAACTCCAAAGACAGATCTTAGCCTCCTATATGGACTGTAAGGACTAGGGAGTTTTGAAGCTTTTGCACTGTTTACATCAAACTTTTTTATTTCAAAAAAGTAAGGAAAATTCCATGTTCTATATTCCGAAGTTGTCAAAGTGTTTTAACCATGGAATACAGTTATTTGATGATCTGAAAAGAGACTACATGAATACTCTACATAGTACAGAGGAAGCTATTTTTAAATTGGATGTACTTGAATCAAATATTTAGGTTTTTTTTACACAGTATATTAAACTCGGCAAATAAACAGTAATTGTACATAAAAATGTGCAGAAGTGTGTTCTCTGTAGAGGATGCGTTTCACAGAAAATTACCAAATGTCATTTGACCAGGAGCGGCCAAACTTTTGCATACAACTGTACTTCATTTCCACATGAAAATATATATCATTTTCAGTTTCAGTTCACTTATCTTTGATAAGAATTGTGTTGATGTCACATGTTTTATGTAATGTGGAAATGATGTAAGGTAAAGTCAGTGCTGTTCAGTTAAGTGTACAATATAAAAGTCCTTGTTGTCTTTACGCAGATAAACCCTATTCTTGAAACTCATCCTCTCCTGGTATTTGTGAACCCTAAAAGTGGAGGGAAACAGGGTGAGAGGTGAGGTCACTTTGGATGAATCCTTCTTAAACCACATAATTTTAAGCACATACTTTAGATTAACCAGTAAATCAGCCTTTAGACTAAGCAGTAAACTGCTTTCCCAATTAAATTGTGTCAACTATCTATTCTACACACAAATGAGACATGGGGCTTATCAGTGTTAGCATACTGGTTGAACGTTATCTAGAATAAACAACAGGACAACTTGAGGGGCATTTTGAGATAATCATTAAGAATTGCAGTCTGAATTTTGCTGTGCAGAATGGAATCTGACACAGTGAGAAATCTGGAGTGAACTGTGCAGTGTGAAAATAATTGTGAGTCAAACTAATTGAGAACTCCAGGAAAAACCTGTGACAGATCAAGCTGCAAACTGTCCACAGGATTTGCCAAGATGATGTGTGAAACAACCAGCAAAAAACACTTCAAATAGGTATGAAGAAAGTACAAGAGAAAAGAGCAGAGGATTTTATTTCTTTCCAAAATAAAAAAGTAGATGGCAGGACACCAGCATGCATCCACCCGACTGCAACATGAACAAGATGACATATTTCTGAAGACACCTTATTTTAGCTTAGAAAAAAGTGATGTAAAGCATGTAAAAAAATAGCAAATATTGTTAACATTAATGCTGTCTGACTTTTCTAAGCTGTTAACTCTTGGCAAACAAAGCTCCAACCACATTCTCATCTACGCTTTTCCACCCAGACACTTGGCGTTATTGTGCCCCACCTCTCATTTCACAAGAGTAACGACTTGCACCAGTTCTGCATTAGTCTATGATTAAGTCTGTGGTTAATGTTTGCGAAGGACTTAGTTACTACTGTTATCTATTATTTCACTAAAAATTCACTAAGAGCTTTATTCCAAAATATGTATATCCTAAAACATTTTTTTATTTTTCTAATAAAATAATAAAAGCAGAATTAATCACAATATTTGTAATTAAGCCTTCACATATGTATATATGTATACCTATGCTGTCAGAACGATAGCACAATCTCATACCTCTAAAAAGGTTAACTTTACAGGAAAAACATTCTTAACTTATAATGGTAGTTAAAGGAGAAATTATTTTTCCAAGTACTTTTGGGGCATTTATGTTCGTTCATCATGAAATTTTGAAACAAAATAAAGGGCAACTTTAAAAAAGTAAAAAAAAGAAAAAAGAAAAAAAAGAATGAGGACCAAAAAATACATAAATATTGTTAAATATTTAATATATATATTATTTTACATATATATTTACATTTTAAAAAAAACGCTTTAATCGCGTAACACCTGTGTTATGTTGTTAGCTAAGAGTGAACGAACTCGAAGACTTTTATTATGAAGACGAGAAATTGCGCATGTTTTCAATGAATCTCAGAGCGCTCTCCTTGTTTTTTGCAGAGTTCTTCGCAAATTCCAGTACCTGTTAAACCCTCGGCAGGTTTATAACCTATCCAGTGGTGGACCGGGACCAGGGTAAGGGCTCCTCCAGCGTGGTTAGTGTTTACAGAGTTTATAGAACTCAACTAAAACTAAGCGAAGTCAATTGCGCCAACGGAGAGCCGCAGCGCAGCGCGCGCATTTTTCTGCGCGTTTACCCCCCCTAGCGAGGTTGTGGGGGTTGAGGGGGAGGTGTGGACATACCATTGTTTTCTAGAGCTTGTAGATCAACGGGGCCCGCAGACGCGCCCAATGGAGTCTAACATGAGGTTTAGAACACGAAAGGTGAGGTTTAGCGACAGAGAGCTCGGCGTTTTAGTGGAAGAAACGCTGAGAGCGCAGAGCAAACTCAACCGGCTGCTTCCCAACAGAGTGAGGAATAACGCGTGGCGCCGGATTCTGAGAAAAGTGAACTCGGTGGCCAAGTCGAGGAGGACCCTCAACGAGGTGAAGAAGAGGTGGTACGACGTGAAAAGGCAGCGAGGACGAGACCTTGAGAGGCTTTATCATCAGATGACGATGCGGACATCGGGTGAAAGCTGTTCTTCAGACGAAGAAAGAGGTTCGTGCAACACTGAATTTGTCAACTTTGTCAAAGAGGAACCGGAGGAACCGAAAGAGCTTCAGCTTCAGCTTCAGCCAGATCCATTTCTGACGGACAGTAAATTGAACGGACAGCTGATGCCCTGCGTTCCTATGATCAAACTGGAGGGTAAATACATTCACTTACATTGTACACTAGCCTTTGCTCACTTCGAGCCTAACAAACTAGTTACAGGGCAGTAGAGGTGGGCGATATGGCAGACTGTCTTTGTCATATCACGATACTCAAAAACGTTTTTTACGATACACGATATGTCACAATATTTATAAGTCAGCCCACATTTTAAAAACTATCAAAAACTATTAATTTGGTTATTTGTATTCACCATTTTACATACTGTGCTGCACTAAATCAAATTAAACAGGACTAATTATGCTCTTTTTGTAATCAAACATGCAGTTGGTAAGTAGTTTTTAAGTTTCGATGATATTCACAATATACTCAGAAAAGCATATTGTGATGTAATTTATCATGATATGTACTGTCATATTGCCCAGCTCTATAGAACACTGTATAACATAACCATGGTTTTATTAGGATGACGAGATCTGGGTAAAGTAGCCTAAACCTATACTATACACATAACTATAAAGTACTTTTCCAATAAACAACTTGAGCAGAAGTACTTAAGCGCCTGCTCAAAAACTACTTAAGAAATGATAGACCTGCATTGGACCATTTCTACCAGTAGTGGAGAAAAAAATGCCTTTTTTTAACTTAAAAAAGTTAAACACAGATTCTTGTTCCGTTCATTCACTTAAACTAATTTCAATGTAAAATTTTAAGGCCGATCAAACACTAACTTTTCTAAGTCAAAACCACCATTTGTTTTTACAGTGTACTGTTTCTGGCAGCAGTATGTTGCAAATTTGATGTAGTGTAACTTTTTTCCTTAAAATATTAACTTACTATAACAAAACAATAACTGGTTTTTTTCAGAATATACATTATGTTTAAAAATTACTTAGTATGTCAAAAAAATTACTTATCTTGTGATAATGACATCCTGAAATAATCACTTTCTCTTACTCTTTTTGGTGCACTTTTGGTCTGAAATAAAATGATGAACCTCAAAAGTTAGAGCTGTGACTAATCACAAAGCAGGACAGATGCTGACAGCAACATAACATAATACAATTACAAATGAAAAAGAAAATTAGATACTAAAAAGAGAAAAATCAGGTAGCGATTGCAGTGTAGTTCAGAAGTAAATGCTTAAATTGGAAAAAGTCTGGCATTGTACGTACTGTGGGTCCCAAAAAGTATTTGTGCCATACTTGTGCCAACATGTGTTAGGGTCATTGTGATGGGAAACAAATGGCAAACCAAGTGGCCTTTATTTTAAACAGACCATTCCAAGACCTCTTAAAAGGTCTGCTGCATTTCAGATCATTATCTTTCTGAAAGATCTGTTAATGTCATTTGAGCAGTTTCTTGCAGACGTCTTCAGGTTTGCATCTCTGAATATAAGCTCACCAGCACCACTGTAAGTAAAACAGTCCCAGACTTTGATGTTTGCAATAAGTATTTTTCTCTAAACAAAAATACATTTTGTTAAGCAATTTTGAAGTAATTTTATGAAGTAAGCTAAAGAACTTCATTGAAATTTACCAAAGGTTAACATGTCCAAATACTTTTTGGGGGCCACTATACATTTCTGGCTAAACAATACGTTTTGGAGGTCCACCAACAAAGTTTTGGCACAAAATCCTAAGTTTATGCAAAATCATCTGGACCTCTTGTCTTACAGATATAGCCCACCACATTTCTGCCACACCGTTGTATTCAAGCACAGATCTGGAGAGTCTACCAGAACAGAATCCACCCCAGCTGAATTGTCAAACCAGTCCAGCGCTTGATGCTCTGAATTCTTCTTGCACCGACGAGAGTCCAAATGTTGATTCTCCACAGTCTCCACATAACAGCGAGATTGAGGACGTACCAAGTCCATCTGCTGTAGTAGCTGCGATCTCAGCAGAGATGAAACAAATGAATGCCGCGTGCAGTGCAATGCTCGCCAGCTCTACCCAGTTATTAAGTGCTGTGGAGGGATTGAACAGAGTTATTGACGCCATGAACTACCAGCGTAGTTATTTCCATCAGAGGATGTTGGATTCCCTGGACACCATTGCTATTATGCTGAAGAAACGTGATGAAGTTTAAGTGGATCCATTAGAACCACCTGTAATACACAAGAACACTCTACAACAACCGTTAAAACAAGCCTATTTAGGGAAAAATTGCCTTCCTTTCTTGTTTATAGGCTATGAAACTAATGCAGTAATTCTAATGTTACATATTTTTGATTAAAGTTTACTTTGTCATCTTGCATGCTTGTCTTGGGTTTTTTTCTACTTTTTAGTTTGTCCAAGCGCTTCGTAAAGGGGAAATTTCTTCATGATTTACACGTTATAATGTAAACAAACCCATTTGATGGGAAATAGAGAAATATGGCTGGTTGGAATTGTTCACAGTGGTGGTGATAGGAACCAGACATCATTTAATGCCTCTGAAAGCTCCCTCACAGGAAGTTACTACATTTAACAGTTAATAGTATGTAGTATATTTTTCTTTATTCCATTTATGGTGTAGGGCTACATGCAGAGAAAGGCAAAATAGCTCCTAAAGAAAACTTCTTTTTTCAGATTGACCGCTACTTTACCATCATCAAAATTACATATATATATATAAAAACATATTTCAAAAAAGTGTAGGTTCACTGGTTGTTTTGGATAGTAAATAAAATGGCTGCTATTGTGTTATAGACATTGCGACCCCTGGTTCCTGTCGCCACCACTTTAAAGAAATCAGGGTCTGTAAGTTTCTCTACAATGCATCAATTCTCATCAACCTACTTGTTTACATCTTAACCATTTATTCATGCAGAAATTTTGTAAAAATTAATGGAATTCCCCTTTAAAACTTGATGCACTTTAATGTATTCTGTAATGATGTCTTGTTCTAAGAACATGTTAACAGCGAACCCTTAAAGACGAGTGCATGATAAGGTTATTCGAAGTTTTGTAGATTCCGTTTAACAAAGTAGCCATTCATTCCATCACAGCTGCTTTATTTATGGATAGGATGATGACTCATTTTACGCAGTTGAGAACACTGAAATAAATAGGAGGACTTTGTGTTGGACACTTTTTAAGATCGCATAATGTACAGGGGGTTCAAACGTGAAATAACTGCGTCCAAGTATGTAAGTTTTTATAGGGGAACTCCAGTACTTTAGCTCACGCTATCTCGGGGCCTTCCCCTGCTTATTTTAATGTAAGGTACTGTTTTTATTTGATCATTTCAGATTAAGTTGACATGAGTCAAAATGTAAAGTTCAAATTTATTTCTTTTAGTTAAAAATTGAATTGTTTACTTGCAAAAACTACATTTTACATGTAACTTCTATTTTTATCAGTAAGAAATCAATTTGAACATGTAATAAAAAGCATTTTAACATTAACATTAAAAATTGTATCTCTTTTAATTTAACTGCTATATGGCAAAATGTAACTCACAGTACCAAAAACTTCGTTCTATTAAAATAAGCTGGAAAGGCCTGAATTCTCACATGCTAAAGCTAGTAGTAAACGTTGAAAATTGACGTTTCTTATGTCACAGTTAACGTTTTAACCAGTGCTTATAACATTTTTACTGGTTCAAACTGAACTTCTGTATCAAAAATGTAGATTAAAAGCTAAAACGGCTTTCCGTACAAATCTTTATCTGTCGCACGTTTCAAGGCAGTTGTTCTTTCGTGGTAAGTTAGGCCTAAACGACGTAGCTACAGTACGCGGCAATTAGAGATTAGCTTGGAAAACACTGGAGTATTTCTATAAATTCGTTTAGTATGTTTGCTGTGGTGTACAGTTGAAAAAATCCACACTAAAATTATAATAGCGTGCAAATGGACGACATGTTTCTGTGTTACACGAGTGTCGCAGAAGTTTGAATTCGCCTGGGCTCATGCGCGCAGAAAGGTGTTCAGGACTTTTATTTTGACAAGTATCAGATGGCCGCAGGGCCTTTTACGCAGAATAGTGGAAATACGCGGTTTTAAATTCGTAGCTCATTTATAATTAATAAAGATCTGATGTCCTGCAGTTTTAGTTGTTAGAAACTCAGTTTTACACGAAACTAACTAAAACGGACTGTGCTGAGCCGCCATTATAACAACTCTCAATCTTTTCACTCACTCTATTTTTTTACTATTGCTCATCGATAAATAGCGGAAAACCTTTTACTGACTTTTTAAATGCGAATGACCATTTATACAATAACAGAATAACAGTAAGATACGCTAAAGCTCAACATTCACAAATCAAACTGAATTTCTTTGTAAACTGTCAACAGAGGAAAAATAAAAAGAAAAGAAACTATCAAAAGAAAAGCATTTGGGATTTAAATAAAACTGAAAAGCCTTTTGCTGACTTACACCGGTTACACAGCGTGAGGAAAGTTGTTTTGAAATAATACTAGTTTTAATTTTGCATTTTAAGACGTTTCAACAAAATTTTGGTTGGTAATTAAACATATTGGGGAATAAAAAAATCTGTCTTTCCTTTCTCTGCAGGTTGTGCTTCTTCAGGGACCTTCAGAACTACAGAATATTGGTTTGTGGTGGAGACGGAACTGTGGGCTGGATACTTGATGCCATAGGTTAGAATTCAGTGTTGATTACTTAACATATTTGTGACTTTAACATGATATAAAACAAAGTTAATGTTGTAAGTCAGAAAAAAACACTAAAATGGACAATGCTTGGGTAACACAGGTCTTAAATACGGCATTATAATCATTTAGTAGCAGTTGTTAGTTGTCTCTTTGTGAATGATTCCCGTATACCCTTTTGGGCGTAATATGCATCTTAAATAAAGTGTTTCAAGACTTGCTATCGCAAAATCTCGTTTTCCGGACTTGGCCGCTAGATGGCGCGCTGCTTCAGTCTCTGTATAGTTTGACGTGCAGTTGTAAATACATTGCTGACTCTCTGCTTTACCTCTATTACATCTTATTGGAAAAAGTATTTTACAGGTCACATTAGCTCTTGTAAGCCTTACTGAATAATGAACACAAAAAGAGAAGGGGTTACAGTAATATAGATCAATAAGTGGGTGCTTAGACTCCTTTGGATAAGGAACATAAATAGCCTTTATTAAAGGCTTACATTTAGTGCTCCTTTTGTTCACGTAGTGGACTAAGGAGCACATTGTTACTGTTTCACTCTTCACTTACTTGCCTGCAAATGACTGTAATCATCTCTAACAGCCCTAAATATGCAAAAATCTGCACTTAACAACCTTAAGTATGCATTCATTTTTAGGTAACTGTATTGATAATTGCTGTCTTTTGTCTTTATATGTGCTCTCTTTGGCCTCTATAGATAAGGCCAACCTGCCAGTACGCCCCCCAGTGGCTGTTCTTCCTCTTGGCACAGGAAACGACCTAGCACGGTGTCTGCGATGGGGAGGAGGTGAGAACAACTCTAAGGCTTCTGTGTTTCTACAGGCAGTCAAATTAAAATGGGATTAACAGTCAAAGAAAGAGGTTGGAAAAACAGGCTGGTTTAAACTGTGTCTTTTTTTGCTGAGGATTAATTTCAGCAAAACTTCTAAATAGGTACAGTTCAGTGTTTCAGACAGTCAAGTCCCTGAAATGCCACATTCAGAAATCTGTAATGTGGCTTTAACATGGCATAAAGCAGACTTATGAGCTAAATATGGCTTAAGTATTTAAGATTTTAGCATTTTGGGGGTTAATACAGCCCTGATTCTAGAGTTTATCTGCGTTTAAAGTTTAACTTCTGGAGACCTTAATAATTAGCTGGTCTAAAATGTGCAATGCATGGGTCTAGTATACTGTCTTAATATAGCATATAGAATAAATGAAAGTAGTTGTTAGTTATCTGTGCAAGTTGTTCCTATGTGCACTTTTGTTGGCCATAATATTCACCCTGAGTAAAAATGTTTACTTTGAAAATTGTTTAATTTAAAAAGTTGTTTGCATGTATGCAGCATGTCTACCATGACAGGGTTTCTCATTGTTTTTCTGTCTGCAGGCTATGATGGCATGGACCTGAGCCGCATCCTGAAGGAAATTGAGTTCAGTACCCCAGTGCTGATGGACCGCTGGAGTGTGCAGGTGGTTCTGGAGGACAGCCAGGAAAGAGGAGACCCTGTGCCTTACGAGATCATCAACAACTACTTCTCCATTGGAGTGGTGAGAGAACCGTAAAAACATGCTCCGCTGAAATCACTCACGTAGATTTGTACACAATGTTGTAAGAATGTTCTTACATGTTGTAAGAGGCCTGATGTACAGAACAAAATTCCCACCTTAATATTTGGTGTGACCACCGTTTGTCTGTAGCAGTGTGACACATTTCTAGGAAAAAACCCTGTTGCAAAATAGAGCAAAACCAAAAGTGCTGCATTTATATTTTAGTTCAGTCTAGTAGAAATAGGCGTTTTCATTATTTAATCAGAACAGGTCATTTGAAAATTAAACAGTAAGAGGTAATGAGTATTAGTATGATTAGTATTCAGAGATTGAAACGTCGTTTCAGTGCACCTAACAAAGGCGACTAATGGCCCATACCAGAAGCATATATTAAAAAGTATTTTAGGCTGTCGCAGTAAATAGTAAACAAATAACAGCCAAGTGCTATTTGAAAATTAGGTTCACCTCAATTTTCTTTAACAAGTCTCTGTGGTAGTTTGTGCCAATCTAATGAGAATTCACTGCAGTTTCAAAACAAACAATGATTTTTATTTGATTCAAGCAGCAGCTCTTTTAAATCCTAAAAATAAGCATAAACAGACAAAAGTTGACAAAAGTTAGAAACATGTTTATTGAATAGTGCCTTTTTAATCCTAAAGACATATTTATCAGTTGGCTACATATACAGCACAGTATTTATATTAAGTGAACATATATTTTAATATATAATAATAATATCAGTAATAATAAAAATAATAATAATAATATACAAAATCTTGTATCTTCAAAGAAGTAACTTTTCTATGTTCATCATTAAATTTTGATGCAGCGTAAGTGGCAGCTGGAATTTTCAAATCACATGGAAAAAATTTAAAACGTCAAAAATGGAGATATGAAGTTTTATTCCATCAGCGCTGATGTTTTATGCATTGATGTGTATAAGAAGACAGGATAATCAGAGAAACATTACCTATAATTTGGAATTGACTTTATGGGGTATAATAATAAAAATAATAATAATAATAATGAACAAATTTAGTATGTTTAGACAATTAGCATGAGCCTCCTACATTGCTGTAGAGTCAGAACAGCTGGAGCTAGATTCTGAATAGCTTTATTATTTTCCAGACATGTTGTTTCACACTCTCCCCTGAGAGACTCATCCTGAGCCATACAGCTGAGACCCAAGTTTAATTCCCAGTAGATAGTCAGGCGGTTAGAGAGGTTACCGTCAGGGATTGCTGAGCAGTATAAGATTATGGGTTCAATACGAAGGAGAGCTCAGTGTTTGTATCCTACTATGCACATTGAATAAGTGTAACTGATCAAATCTCACTGTCCACTTCTCTTCCGCAGGATGCTTCAATCGCTCACAGGTTTCATACCATGAGAGAAAAACATCCACAGAAATTCAACAGCAGGTGGGCAACTGATTTAAAGCACTGGCAGGACAACGTATCAACTGAGGCCCTGTTCACACTTGGTACATCCGATCATGTGGGCAAAGAAGTGTATGGGTGTTTGCCTGGCATTTTCATGTGTCTCCAATGTGTCTGCTTATGATTGGATTTCGTGACTGGAGACAGAATATTGTGCTAATTTATTATGTCAGTTTCTTGCTGCACATGATGTCAGACAAAAATGTCCAATGAGTCGTTGTTTGTGTCACAGTGTTTAGATCACATGGACTACTAATGCAAGGCCTGTCGTGATCATAATTTGTTTTGCTGACAATTAGTTGGCATATTAATAAGTGTGATTAACAAATTATGTTTTTTGAAAAACAGTTCATTTGTATTAAAGTCCCAGCTTAAAATGACCAAATTGGCTGATAAGCTTTTTTGCTTGCTTTCTGACGATACTCAGTAGCTCTCAACAGATGACACACAGTTCAAGCTCACATAAACACACATTAGTCACCGCTGCCCTCTAAATGTGTTATAGCACCAGTCAGTAGTCATAATTTTTGTTGTTCTTGTAAAATGACGTGGCTCAAAGTGTTTCCTGTGAAAGCTAACGTCTGTTGAAAGTGGTTGTGATGTTGTCCTAAATTTTAAGTAGGGAAACTCAACCTAATAACACCAAGCTTGTGAACTGTAGATAAGTTAGATCAATCAGAGGGAACCAAACCTTCATGTTTTGTGACATCACAAACCAAAACTTACTGACAGTCTGACACATTACTTTCAGGGGTCAGGCCTCAAGCCAGAAAAATAGGATATTCTGGTGTTCTTGGTAAAAAAAAAAAGCCTGAACCTAATCATATAATATAATATAATATAATATATGGAAAACAATCGCGATTTAAATTGCAGTCGCAATATTAGGAATTAGATATTTTCTCCAAATCGCTCAGACCTACTGTTTATTATGTTATGTGTTATATTCGTCCCTGACCACCAGGTGGTTCAAGCGATCAGATTATGATTGAATCACTCAAGATGTAAATTAATACTAGATGTGAACAGGGCCTGAGATCTATTTATACTCAAAGGAAATTTGATAGAATGATATTTTATTCATGATAATATTTACAGGGCTTTGCTTTATACAATTAATGTCTATTTCCCTTTACACCACTGTGATTGATGTATTATGCAACAGGAGGTATTTTTGTATATAATAATAATTATTCATGCATTACTTATTTATTCACACAATTCACAAATAAGGTTGGACAAGATTTGTAACTGCACTTTATTAATGGGTTCATTTAAGCTCTGCTAATGTTGTGTTTTACCAGAATAGTATTTACACCCTGGGCTGTTGTCTTTCTGATAACAGTCATTAATGCCTATGAATCATAGCAGTTGTTAGGATTAACTGATTTTAAGTCTTGCCCACTGGGCTCAGCAGCATACATGTAAATACTGAATACTATTACAGCGTCAACTGCACAATGTGTTACGTCTCAGCATGTGTTAATGGCTTCTCTTCACATTTAAATGTCCCTGCTGGGTTCAGAATGAAGAACAAGCTGTGGTACTTCGAGTTTGCCACCTCTGAGACAATTTCAGCATCCTGCAAAAAACTCAAGGAGTGCCTCACCATCGAGGTGAGATATTTGCTTTTAAATACTCCTAAATGTTAAACTGCTCACAGTACAAAACTATTAATCTCCATCCTTATTCCCTGCAGAGTAGATGATTCTCAAAGAAGATGGGGAACTTCATAAAACATAGAAGCATTTACTGAAAAAGAGAGCATTGAGCAGTAATGTGTTTGTGGTATTGTCTGCCTTGTTCTCTCTTATCCAGTGCTGTGGTATACAGCTGGACCTCAGTAACCTCTCACTGGAGGGCATCGCTGTTCTCAACATTCCCAGCATGCACGGCGGCTCTAACCTGTGGGGTGAAGCCAAAAAGAGTGACCGAGTTAACCAGGAACTGCCTGAGGTCATAGTAGATCCTGAAGTCTTAAAAGTCAGCCCTCAAGGTAGGTTTGTACTGTTTCTTACCGTTTTATCCCCCCCAGATATTGTACATGCTAACATTTGAGGCACTTAAATAAGTGATGCTTTCAGTTTCAGGTTCGATTTGTCTCAATTTATTTTATAACATGCTGAAAAGTTTTGAAACAGTTATATAAAAAGTACTTTTCCAGAAATATATAATATTATGTTATGTGTGATATGATATAAGTTGAAGAGTTTTTTTTGTGTGTCAGAAGTGATTGTTTTAAAGTTTTTTAAAGACTTTAAAGAACCAAAAATCTATTTTTTTTATTCTGTACATTTATAAAAATATAAAAAATAGGAAGACACAAATGATTCATTTTTATGACTAATTCTAATTTCTGTAGTCAAGCTGATGTATGATTTTCAGTAGCCTTTTTTTCAACTCAAAGCCCAACTGTGTGGGACAAATGAACACATTAACACACAAGCACATTTCCCGTACTTTCTGTTAGCTAAAGCTGCAAGTATAAACATTATTTGCACTTAAAAGAGGATTTCACATTCTTAAATAAAAGACAGGTGTCTGTCAAAATAATGTAAATTCAACATGAAAAGTAAGAGGCATCTGGCTACCTAGCTCAGTGAGTCATCCATCATTATACTACGACATTTTAGTCCAGGTAGCAGCAGCATTCATATAAGTGCATACAAGTGCACTTACCTGCCTCATTTTATTTACAGCGTAAAATTGCAACACAGATCAGCTAAAATCAAATTTATAATTGCTGATTGCATTTTTGGAGCAAAAATCTGCTGATTCCAGTGGTGCTTCTCCAAAATTATACAGTTCTATGCAAATGTTTGAACACCTGCAGTCAAATTACATACTGTGTTTATTTTCTAACTGAAAACAAAGTTAACACATCCTCTCCAGAGAACACATAATCTCTCTGCATGTTAGTGCACAGGGCTCCATTTTTGTGCAGTTTAATATGTTGGAAAAAATATCTATAAAATAGATAACTTTTGCGTAAGCTGAATTTTATGGGGTTTTTTTTTTCCTTCTTACTTTCACTTAGAACATCAGCAGAACATGTTGTTTGACCAGGGGTGCCCAAACTTCTGCACATGACTGTATATGTAGAATGTTTTAGAAATATTATATTAAAAAAAACAAACCTGATTTATTACCTCTGGTATAAACAGTGTTGTAGCTGAATATTTGTGGTGAGTCACGTTGTGTTTGTGTGATCATTTCATTACTTCAGATCTGAGTGATAAGCGTCTGGAGGTGGTGGGGCTGGAAGGAGCCATCGAGATGGGTCAGATCTACACCGGTCTCAAGAGTGCTGTCCGACTGGCCAAAACCTCACAGATCACCATCAGGTGAGTCATGTGAATGTAGCAGCCATGGCAGGCACAGGACAACAGCTACTCAGTATGATACGCATACAGAGCCAGCCATTCTGCGTCCTTTACGGCTGTGCATTATTCGCATATTGGATTTAGTGTATATTTCTGTGGTAATAAAGGTCTTTGCACTGAAAAATGATGCATTGAAGCTGCGCTATGGAAGGTTTTGTTGTTAAAATGGAAAGAAGTAGCATTACTGAGACATGCTAAAATATGGTCTGCATGCGCTGCTGTGAGTCGCCCTGTAAAGTCGGAGGTGTCAGCTCGGATTTGGCTGGAGTTTTTAGACCACATCTCATGTCTTTATGTATTAATGTCACCCGTACAGGCTCAGAAAGAAGGTCTGACTTAATGTTTAGGTCTCAAATGCAAAAAAAACATCATACCAATGAAAATGTGATGACAATAGTAGATAATTCACTTACGTCCTCGGAAGACACGTCCTTCACCAAGTTTTGACTGAGTTCTCATTAAACACTCATAACGCTTGCAATTATTGGATTCGTTCACAATTACACATTTTCACCAGAGAGGTCTCCAAATCCCCCAAAACTTACATTTAAGTGTAACTTTAAATCCTTCTGATTCAAATGTGTCGTTTCCACATGTATGAACTATATCAACACAAGTTGGTCTTTCAGTTTATGTACTTTTGGCAATAACTGTTTTGATGTAATGTATTTAATTAATGTGGAAATGATGTACACATTCAAATGAAGTAAATGCAATGCAGCTGTAGCCTTAGCTGTAGCTGTAGACTTAGTGTATGCTTACTTTGGTCAAGACATTAAGGGCTGATTTCCCAGACAAGGATTAAGCCTAGTTATGAACCACACGTGATTTTGAATGGAGATTATCCATTTAAAGGAAAACATAGTCCATGTCTAGGCATAATCCCTGTCCTTGAAACCGCCGCTTTGTTTTGCAAGTTTTATATCTAATGTTTACAGGAACAGTAGATAATGAGTTGAGATTGAGATGGACTGCAGGGTTCCATATCTCTGTTGTTAGGACATGCTGTGGCATGTCAGGCTTGTTTACTCCCTGTGCCTTTATTTGCCTCCGCTCCCTCATTCACATACAGTCAATGGTAATTCGTTCACACTTTGTAAAGAGAGATATTCACATTATGCAGCACTTGTCTTTGTCATGGACAGCAGACTTTCACATTCTGTACTTCCATAACAGTCATTTAATAAACCACCACCACGCAACGTACGGTTAATTCTATAGTTTTCAGGACCCACCATTATCCTTTCTTTAATGCACTACAATTTACAAACTTAAAACTCTGTTATAGGACGAAGAAGGCCTTGCCCATGCAGATTGATGGAGAGCCATGGATGCAGCCACCATGTACAGTAAGTGTGCATTATCACTGTGACAACTACAAATGTAACCTTAAATGCTTCCTAAATGTTACTTTTGAGGCATTATGCATTAACCTAGAGGATAAAGTGTTAATTTAACCCGAACGAACCACACGTCTTGCCGGTGATCCAGTCAGAGAAGTTTGCGATGACCCTTTAAATGTATCACTGTGTAGAACCAGAGCTTTCTGTGTGCTGCTGTGTTTTCTTCACTGTATAAAAGATGTGCTAGGCTTCCTTTATTGGTGGATGCACTGTGATTTTTTACAAGTGAGCACACAAGCTCAGTCAGATCACAGTTCTGATCAGTAAGTGCTTATTGTTCATGTGTTGAATAAGAGTAATGACAAAATGGGATTCATGTTATTTACATATCAGGTAACAGCAGCACTGAGAAATCATGTGATTAAAAGAGAAGAGCAGATTAAACAGCAGAAATAGAGTGCTCAAATCGTCACACACTTAGTAAACTTATCTAAAAGTGTCAAGTTATCAAGTGATGTCTAAAAGGCCTGCTAATGTGGTTTCTGACTCTGTATGACATACTGTTAAATTTGAAATTTGACAAAATTACTAAACAGTACTAAAGATTACGAAACAGTTCAGCTCTGTTTTGGGCAAATGTATGGTGAAATATTGTGCACAACTCTAAAGGCCATTGCACACCAAAGGCAATGCAAATAAATCATACAAAAATGCCAAATATTCGGGCGTGTTTTTTTGCATCAAAACAATACAATGCATCAAATTAACGTGACACTCTTTTTTATTTCAATTCATTTGCATTGTGACAAAAATATGCAAACAGGCAGAATGTTTTCAAGTGACATCCCTTACTCCTTACAAACAGGCAAACGTTGATATTTGGTAAGCAACTTTCTCATTTAGCAGCTGGAACTTTGACAGCCTTCACATATACAGTGGTATGCAAAAGTTTGGGTGCCCCCTGGTCAAATGACACGTTCTGTTGATTTTCTAAGTGAACTAAGCTAACACATCCTCTAGAGGGAGCACACTTTTGCACATTCAATGTACAATTACTGTTTATTTGCTGAATTTAACATGTTGGAAAAAATAATAAAATAATAAAACGTGGCCTATGCAATAGTTATGCCGCAATTTATATTTCATGTTTTATTTTAGGGGAATTCCAGCAAAGATTTCAGTCAAAGAGGTTTGATGTGAAATGGTTCATTATAGAGAAATTTACCAGTTCAGATTTCTTTACAGTGGTGGTGATAGGAACCAGGTTTCATAATGTGTACAACACAAATATAAACATTTTATTTAGTATCCCAAAACACCAGTGAACCTACACATTAATGTTGATAAAATAGTGATGAATCTGAAAGAAAAAATTCTTAAAAAATGTTTTGCCTAACAACACCCTGCATGTACCTCTCCAACATGAAGGGATTTTGAAACATGATTTGGGCTAAAATCTATCATTAAACAGTATCTCACTTATCAGTAACCATTTCATGTAATAGCTTTCTGTGAGGGAGCCTTTAGAGGCAGTAAACTCCTCAGTTGTCTGGTTCCTATGACCATCACTGTGAACAATTCTGGTGCTTTCTGTAGGACTGAGCATTTCACATCAAACCACTTTAAATGGCTTTGTTTACATCGTGCCCTGCGATGAACTGATGACCTGTCCAGGGCGTATCCTGCCTTCCACCCAATGACTGCTGGGATAGGGCTCCAGCTCCCCCCGCGACCCAGAAGGATAAGCGGCTTAGAAGATGTGTGTGTGTGTGTGTGTGTTTGTGTGTTTGTGTGTGTGTGTGTGTTTACATCGTAATGAGTGAATCATGCAGAAATTTTTAAAAATAGATGTACTTGCCCTTCCAAAGTAATAGCAGATAAAATGCCATATTTAAGTTTGTTCACTGTCAAGGAAAAGTTATACATACACATGCTCAAATTAATTTGTCGTATAAATAAATCTGACAAATAAACCACGCTTCATGTGTATAGGCCACCTGTCAGTTGTAAGCTTCCATTATCTGTTAGCTACGTTAGCCTTGTAGCTCCTTGCTAAAGAGGAAACAGTCTTGTCTGTCCAACTACTTTTTTGGTAAGGGGAACATTTGTAAATTCGATCTTTTGGCCGAACCATCACTGTAAGACTGTTACATAATTTTGTTACCTTTTCCAAGCAGTATGTGGGCAGTGGAACTGCCTGTGACGTACCAGGCTGGTGCCAAGACTTGCATATCTAGTTTTAATCTTCATGATAATAGACCACGTCATTTCTCATTCCTGAGGAGAAGAGGTGGACAGTGTGGGATGCAGAACTGCTTCTTGAGACCTGCTGTGATGACTCATGTTTCTCTTCCACAGATTCATATCACGCATAAGAACCAAGCCAGTATGCTGATGGCTCCTCAAGCCAAATCCTCTGGCTTCTTCAACCTGAAGTAGTGCCTACGTCTGCCTCAGCACCTCCACGGATCCCTGCATTTGCGTGGTCCATATTTACCAGCTTGCTTCCATGGACATTGAAACCAGAGCGTTTGTGCAGGCCAAAATGTGTGTATATAGGAAAGGAACACTCGCTTCATATTCTTTTGAACCTTCATGCGGTCCTGAGGAGAAAAATGTTCATTTCAAGCTGTCATACATTTACCTCAGTGGTGCATCAGGAATGTTGTGTTAGATTTACTTGAGCTCCCTCGTGCCATAACGGGACGTTACGTCTACGACTGTGTTCTCACTGTGCAGGCTTAGCCCAAAAGTTCAGATCATTTGGTCTGCTTTGTCTGTACAGCAAGAACACTTCTATTGTTTTCTAAGTCTAAAGCAGTGACCTAAATCTTCTGTGGCTATAGCAAATACTAATCATTATTAACATCAAGTTTTAAACCGGCTGTACCAGATTAGGCATCAGCGGGTCAGAATGGTCACTGGATTCAGTGCAAGGCTTCTGGGGAGGTTGCAAACACAGCCAGTAATTTATTTGATTTTATTTGCGTTTACACCAGAAATGTGTGGTGTAATACTTAGATCTACACGTATTAATAATTTAACTGATCATTAAGGCATTTTGCTTATTGTTAGCAATTGTCAGACCATTGTACTATACCGTTTAGTACATTTTAACAGCTTGAATGTATCTATTTGCAAATTAATGAGTAATATAATTTGTGTTCCTGATAAGTCAGTAGAGACTATACAAATAAACACGGAAAGCTGTAGAAATTAAAGTAACCTCTCCTTGCAAAAGTAGATTGTAAGTAGTCACATGCCATGCATATCTATTCAGTGTTGACAGGTTTGCGGATCATATTGACACTTTTTCCTCTAGCTTATGACATGTATGTAGCTCCTGAGAATATGTAAGATCTTTCAGATTCTGTCTGTGAAATGACTGAATAAATATTGCAAAATGTGTAATTAATGCTCCACTCGTCATTCATAGTTGCTTATTTATGTGCAAGTGTAAATATGGAAACATGGAATGTGGTTAAAGAAGATTTTTTCAAAATCTTTGCATAAGTTAAAACAATTCAGAGTGGTCTAATTCAAGGGTTTCCAATCCTAGTCCTGACGACCCTTTGCTCTGCACATTTTGTGGTTACTCTACTCTACACACCGGACCCAGCCAGTGAGGCACTTTTTAATCAGTTAGTGAGTCCATTCAGGTGAGCTCGATGAGACAAAGCATGTCTCAAAAATGTGCATAGTGTTGGGTCACCAGGACTGGGATTGGGAACCTTGGTTTAATGTGAAATGCTCTGTTCAAAGAGAGTTTTTCACACCTGTAATAATAGTATCACAGTGCCTCCAAAAAGCTTCCACAAAGCAAATTATTCTGTGAAATAATCATGAATTCACTGTCTGATGTCCAATACATTGTTGTACAATAGTTTTGTTGTAAGGTTTTGGTCCAAAACATATTTCACAGGCCATTGTAAGGTAAAGTATCACATTTTATCACATTCACCTCTGTTATACCTTTATCAACATTCCATATAAAATCTCAGAGGATTAATGTAGGTTCACTCATTGTTTATGATAGTAAAAAAAGGCTTTATCTGTGTTAAGGATATCTACAGGTTCCTCTACAATGAACCATTTCACACCAAACTACTCTGAATAACTTTGAATTTTGAAAATTTGGTGAAATTCCACTTTCATTAAAACAGAAACGTGTCACACACCTCGCCCCCACGAGATGGCGCAATTCGTTTGAGAAAATGGAAAGACAGTCCTCACATGTTTGATTTGACTGCTTTGCTGTCTGAACAGGATGGTAAATAAGGGTAGAGCTTCTTAAAGCCAGGCTGCAGTAAAAAACTGAAATAGTTGTCACTGGGGTGGGACCCTCAAGGGTACATCTCAGTACCTTTAATGAGGGAGCAGAATTGTTCCATAATCCATTAAAATTATATTTTCTAAGTTGTATTGACTCCACACACCCCGTCTTGTCTCCAGGCTTTTTATTTTATTGTTCTGTTTTAAAACATTACATTATAAAAAGGAACAAATATGTACTTTTCACCTGGAAAAACGTATTTACGGTTCACAATTAAACCTTAAAACCACTGTTGTACCTTTGAGGATACATTTACATAGTTTGTACCTTGATGAACGAAAAATGCACCTGCACAGGACCTTTATTTGTACAGTACAGTGTAGTGAAGGTCAGGCGTCTCCAAACCCATTTGCTTTCGAATTAATCCAAACATAAGATACTCACTATAAAATAGATCAAGATAAAAATGGGGCGTGTTATGTATTGTTTTCATTTTATTATTATCCATGTGACGTAGTGCTCCTTGAATCTTTCTAACTAATAAATGTGTGTAATTTAGCGAAACAAAAGAAAACAATAACAATGACGCGCTACAAAGCATCCAATCAGATCCTGCACACGATAAACCCTGCCCCGCTGTAGTCCCGCCCCCCTCCACATGGCCCTCATCCTGAAGTAGAGGGTGAAGTGTGAGTGTGAGCAGTCGCTGAAGTGGTTTTGTGAAGAAAGCCGAGCGAACGGTGGTGAGAGAGAGAGAGAGACTGACTGAGAGAAAGAGAGACTGAGAGAAAGAGAGAGAGGGTGTTTTACACAGGTAGAGCGTATTCATCACTCGCGGTTGTTTCTTTGGACGTCAGATCATGAAGAACATGACTTTCAGACGGGTCAAGAAACTCAACTCAAACGAGCCGGACGGGGGGTCTTGTCCGGGCAGTGGAGATATCTACTTCTCCTCCTCCAAATCAGACAGCTGCAAGACCATGGATCAACCCTCGGGCTCCTCAGACATTTACAACTACAAGACGCTCGCGTACTCCGGAGGAACACTGCCAAGAAATTTCAAGAAGGTAAACAGCAGAGCCTCATTATTTACTCTTACTGAGAGACGAGATTGGAGTCCGCTTCCTATTCGAATTTTCCCGTTCCACCTTAAGTGGTGCTGCAGTTAACGGCAGCACCATTTAAGGTGGAACGAGAAAATTCGAATAGGGAACTGACCAGCTTCGTTATTTAGAGTAATATCAGTTCATCTGTCTGCTACTAAGAGAGAAGTGCGATTTCAGTGTTTACCTTTACCTGTTTAAAGTCACAGCATAAATCGCTGTTTAGGTGGGAAAAGCATTAAAAGTTAATTGTTGAACGTTATTAAAAAGTTCTTATAAATAAAGGTCAGAAATGCAAGTAAGTGCACTGTGAACTGTCCACGGCTCCGTACATTAGACACATAAATAGAACAGCTGGTTCTGGGATTAATTACGCGCGGAGACATAAAAAAATGATTTGATTAGAAACAGCGGCGCGTGCGGTAACTTGTTGATGATGTGGCTTTGATAGGAGACGCGCGCGCAGCAGACACCGAGCAGTTATTAACCCAGGAGTCAGCAGCACGCGCGTTTGGCCACATTTGCAGTTGGCGCGTGGCATGTGAACCGTTTCTCACCTGCATCCGCGAGGCATTCGCACCTGTTCACACCTGGTTTACTATTTGCATACGTTAGCAGATCCGGACTTACCGCCCACTGAGAAGAAGAAGATTAAGAATAAAATGGAAATGATGCGTGTATTTATGCAAAATACACACTTTGCTGTTGTATATAAAGCCAACCCTGTACACATACAGAGGCTCCAAGAAGTATTTGGACATATGTGCCGTGTATTAAGTTCACTGCGTCAAACCAAGTGGCATTTCAAACAGACAATATCAGACTGATATTGTGCTAAGCATGCTTTTCTCTGGAGCGAATAGTACACATAGGGTAGAAATAAGAGTATTCATTAACGTTTACCAGTAGTTAGGTGTCCAAATACTTTTGAGGTCTCTATCTCAAGTATATAGGTGATACATGCTGTAATGTATGTACATAAGTATACAAAGGGTAGAAATAGGATTTTTTATTAAAGTTTATCAATAGTTAGGTGTCCAAATGCTTGGGGTCATTGATCTCAAGTAAGTATATAGACAGTGTATGCAGTACTATATATATATACATAGGGTAGAAATAGGAAGTTTCATTAAAGTTTACCAATAGTTAGGTGTCTGAATACTTTTGGAGTCACTGTATCTCAAGTAAATAGATGATGTATACTGTACTATATTTACATAAGTACACTTAGGGTACAAATGGGAGTTTCATTAAAGTTTACCAGTGGTTAGGTGTCCAAATACTTTTGAGGTCTCTGTATCGCAAGTATATAGACGATATAAGCTGCACTGAATGTACATAAGTACACATAGGGTAGAAATAGGAGTTTTCATTCAAATTTACCTGTAGTTCTGTGTCCAAATACTTAATGGGGCCACTGTATCTCAAGCAATTATAAATATAAGGTATATATAAGTGCATATAGGCCAGAAATGGGACATTTTGCTTTTTATTTCTTTTTGTACATATTTCACCACATAGGCCTATATAGGTCTACATGGACCTAAACAACATGCTGCATTACAGTACTGAGTATTTCCTTGTATATATTTGAACTGCATTCATGTTCAGAGCATGATAGGGGCCTGAAGTTTCACAACATGCAGGTCTCTGCTCATGGGAGCATTTCATCTGTCAGCCTAGCTTCCATTCTCTGGGAAAAGTTGGTGTAATTTCCAAGCCCTGTTGCAGCACACATGCTTGGTTACTCATAGTGTTCTCTTGGGTCCACACATCTTGAAGGGCGTTCATGGTCAGTGGTGGTGTTATAGTGTCTAGACCACCCACACGCTCTGCTCTTGACCAAAAGCTCTGACCCCGAGCTCATCTGACGCACTGTACGCAGTCCATGCCACTGTCTATGAATTGTAGCCCTATGTGTTACAATGGACCCCCTGTGCGGCTGCTTGAGACTTTTATGAGACTGCTGAAGTACAGCAGCTGTACTGTGCGTTATGTGCATTGCCATGGATTTGTTTTCTTGCGTCACCACAAGGTTTCGGTTTGTCATTATGGTGACCATGGGTGACCATGGCTGGTTCAGTGTTGGAATCAGTGTCTCAGGCTTTTTTTTCTTTCTGATAACTCGAGTGTAACTTCCCCAAAGAGTTCAAATTTAAAACGCCTTATTGCGTTGAGTGATCTTGGGCATGTGTGACCAATGGAAATGCCTAATGCCTAATATAGCAGTTAGTTGCATTCACACAATCTAAGCATTCTAGCTGTGTCATTATACAGCACTTTAGACCACCCTTTCTTTCTTTAATTTCCAGTCATAACAGCCATTAAGAACAAGCTATTCATTTTTCAGGAAATCTTTCTGAGGAGATTAGATATGCACTAATCCACTTGCATAAAGCGGGAAAAATCAAAGGAAAATATGTGAAAATGGAACTTCTACCAACCATGCAAGACCTGGTAGACCACCAAAACAGTCCTTGTCAGATAACCAGCACTCAAAGCTTGCATCTTTGAGAGAGAGAGAGGAGAAAATCAAGCTGCTTCAGATCTGAAAAAATCCACAGGTGTTTCTGTCAATCCTTCCACTGTGAGAAGACAACTCAACACTATGGGTCTTTACCATTATCTTTACTCTGCAAGACAAAGCGATAGAACACTTGATGTTGCATTTTATCTCGAATAACATCACACCTCTGGTGCTTGCTTTTGGCTTGCACATGCGACAAATTCACAGCTGTGATGTTAGTTGTGATAACGTGCACACTTTAGTGTTACTTCTATATCCAGTGACATTTAAACATATATATTTTTTTTAAATGACAGAAGCACAATGCAGAAGTAACTGAGTGACCAGTTGCTGGGTGCTGCGCCTAATGAGGAGCCCACTGTATCCCTCCTCCTACACCCAAACCAGCTTCCAGGCCACAACAGGGTATTGTGCAGCTAACTAATTCGGCCCCTGATACAACCACCCCCAAGGGAGCCTGGAGGGTTCTTGGAAATAAATGAAGTCATTGAAGAGCCCCCAGGACTATTCTGAAAGTGTAGGAAAATAAAGAAAGGCAACGTTTTACTAGGCCTGAAGGGTTTCTGGTACAAAGTGCACTTTCACTGGAACAACACTCTGGGCCATTGAGGTAGAACAGGGGTAAATTGACTTCAGTCAAAACACACATAATGTGGGCTGTACTTCCTGCTCCTTTAGCCAATGGAGACTGGGTGGGGTCTCGCATAGATTTGGCTTTTACATCAATGAACGTATTGTGAGGAAACACCAGCAGCTCCAGACTTGTGTTTGCCCACACTGCAAACCCAAGTGTACATTCGATTCCAGCAAACATGACCTAACAGAACTTTTGACAAGAAGCCTGAAACGCTCTGCAGAGATGCATCAGGAACATGACAAAACTGTCCTGTGACATTGAGGCAAGTGATGACGAGAGCAGACAGACATGCATTTCAGGTTTTATCTGCTGTGTCATCAAAGTCGCATCTCAGCTTCGCTACCAAAACACACACATGTATGCAGATAAGACCAAAACGTACTGGAGCTGTTTTGTTAGTAGCAAAACAAACAAAATAAAGGTCTTGTCCCATTTAGTAAGAGAGGCATGATCTAATATTTCTTCTTCTCTTCTCTTCTCTTCTCTGTCCTATTTCTTTTTTCTCTTCTCTGTCCTTTTTCTTTTTTCCCTTCTCTTCTCTTCTTTTCTCTTCTCTTTTCTTGTTTTCTTCACCCTCTTCTTTCTTTCTTTCTTTTTTTTATTTCTTTCTTTCTTTCTTTCTTTCTTTCTTTTTCCTTTTTCTTTTCTCTTTCTGTTCTCTTGACTGCTCCCCCCCTCTCTCTTCTTCTTCTTCTTCTTCTTCTTCTCTCTCTCTCTCTCTCTCTCTCTCTCTCTCTCTTCTTCTTCTCTCTCTCTCTCTCTCTCTCTCTCTCTCTCTCTCTCTCTCTCTCTATCTCTATCTCTCTGTTTCTCCCTCAGAATGGTGGGTTACAGAAGTGGAAGCCCCTCACGCAGCCACCAGAGCCAGAAAAGTAAGCCTACAGTTTCTTTCTACTGTTCCTCTTCTTTCGGTATGAGTGGTAAAACAGTAAAGTGGCTTATGAGGGTCTGGATGTGTCATGAGTTTTTTCCCTGAACTATATACGTTACCAAGGTCACATAATATTGCGTCATATAACTGTCATACGAATCTCCTGACTGTTTTCTAGCCATAGCAGAATCCCCCTGTAAGTTCTTTGTAACTCCGTTTTTTCCCTGCGTTAGTTTGTTTACGTCATTTGAGAATTCCAGTTATTCTTCACATGGTGTAAACATTTTGTGATGAATGAACCAAAACATCGACCTGTAGTAAAATCTACATTACATTAATGATCATTAAGATTTTTTTCTTTGTCTTAAAGTTGCTTCTTCAGCAATAATAATTTGCTCAGCAGTTCTAAGTGTGTGAGAACAAGTGTGTTGTGTCAGAGATCTTCACAATACTCGGTTCTCATGACAGTTAACCATCAGACGTCACTCCTCAAACATCAGTCAAAACCAAACTGAACTTAACCATTGGCCAATTCCCTGCACTCTTGACTTCCTCACAGGAGCCTTTTGAAGCTGTTAAAAACTGGAAGCATGTTTTGATGAAGTGAGCTGCTCTTTCATAATGGCACACCCAGGATTGTTCTGTTATTACAACAGACATTTTTTCCACTGTGCTCTGTTTGTATGTGTTTCATTGAGGTGGTTTCAATTGAGTCGACTTGTATGTTACACAGATATTGTGACATCACTTCTATGTTGAGGATACTGAAGTTAATTCATTGCTTTTCTATAATTAAAAGAAAATACAGTCCCAATTATAGAACACAGTTGGAAATCAAAGATCAGTTGCTACTGTCCTAGAATCAGCTCTAAAAGTGTAGATGTCTTAGCATCGAGCAGGTCACATGACTTCAGTATTCAGTGTTCATTGATCTTTATTGTTGGAATATTTGTGTAATACCATTAAGAGAGCCACTTTGTTTTATATATTGAATTTGGGAGTGAGCCTTAATCTTGATAAGACCCTGATATATCAGTATATTGTGTATTATTATAAATCTAACCTATCAAATGTGCTCTCTTTTCACTTTGTTTTTACAGGAAGGTGGTGGTCCTGGAGAAGAAAGAGGATGAAACATTTGGCTTTGAGATTCAGGTAAGAAGATTCTCTTTTGGAGCTTGTTTAACCAGATTTATTCCGACAGCTGATGAAAGTGGGCTGAGCTCTGAAACTGCTGTACCGACGTCAGGGTAAAATTAATTTAGCACATAGAGAAGGGGTACAGGATTGAGTGCTCTGGTGAGGTTATTAAATTTAGAAGCAAAAACTGTGCTTAATCGGGTGATATTTTGTTATCTTTAATAAGATTTCAGAGCTTTTTGAAACACGCAGACTGGATGAGCTGCTGGACAGTAGAGCACATCAGTGTTTATTAGATAAAGAACACTCAGAGGTGAAAGAGATAAAAATAATATTTATTATCAGTACAAAGGTGCTTTTTAATAGGAACCTCTCAACTATTTGGAGCCTGAGCATTGGTATGCGTTTTAAGGATCCTCTGCGGTTTTGAGAAATAGAATAAATCCCTTTTTTATCCCTGGTTCCACATGTTTTCCTGCTGGCGGACATTGTTAACCTCCTGTCCTTGGTGAAATCTCCCTGTACTAGCGTACAGTGCTCGCTTTGTGAGGGCCTGTACTGTTAGCTGTAGTTTGTGCATGAATAGTAGTGCAATATCACAGTACTCGTGGTAATGTCACCATCAGTTTGTTGTCTATATACCAAAAAGAGTTTAAATAATATATTGGCCAGCTGATATGAAGGTGCCACAGATCAGGGCTGGAAACTTGATTGGTTTTATATCGAACTCACACTTTGAAAGATTGCAATTTTAAAATCAGAAGAGCTACAATTATTTTTATAGCCTCCATGATCAACAACATTGTCTCAGTAAATTTTAAGTGGAGAAATTTAACTTGTGATCTGCCTGTAGACAATTAACACCAATCAGAAGCAACCAAACAACAGGCACGTGCTGTGTACATGGAATACAACCACAACCAACTGGCAGTCTGGCACACTGCATTCAGCATTCAGAAGTAGAGAGAAGTGGATATGCTGGTTTTTCTGGTCAAAAAAACAGGATCATAATTTATAGAAGATAACTCAGATGTGAAAGGAAACCAAACACTTTTATACACACTGCTGAGCTGACAGTCAGCAACTTCTTATTTCTATTAATATATTAATGTGTGGGTGTTTCTGCAGCTATAGGCGCTTTGACAGTCAAAGTTTTTTGAAAGTGGACATCAACAATAATGGATTATAGATTTTAGGGACTGTATATTGTTTCAGTTTCAAATGAATATATCGCTGCTATTGGAACAAAACATCGTATCTCCAAGATGGTAACTTCACAGGAGAAGGAAAAACCTACTTTACTTCTAATGTAAGTCAATGGAACCAGACTTTTTCAGAGTAATCTTTTGGTCCATTCTTCATGAAATTTACACACAATGTAAAGAAAAACAGGCACTTTCAAAGTATGTTAAAAACTAAAACAATAACAAAAATAGAGATGGAGGTTTTCTTCCAACAGCAGCAATATAATTGTTTTAAAAGTCTAATTCACTAATACATTAGTTATAAGCGTGACAGTAACTTTTGTTTCCATCAAAAGTAGGTTTGTTTGGTCAGTGAACACATAAATATTGCTCATATCGGTCTGGTCCGAATGTATTTCCATGCCAGATAGCTGGTTTATATTTAGTGTTGGATGGCCCAGACCATTGTAGGACAGCAGACCCCTCCTTTCCGGTATGGCCTTCTGATCCAGGATGTGACATCAGGACAAACTCTGATGAAGAGACAGGTTCAGCATCCTGAGAGTGGCCTTAAGATGCCCAACTATAGGCAGGCTAGCAACAGCAGCACACACATATATGTGTGTGTATATATATATATATATATATATATTAATTAAACACACACACACATATGGACCAAAAGAAACGGCCCAAAATGACTTGGGGAAAAAAGTCTGGTTCCATTGACTTACATTAAGTAGGTTTTTTCCTTCTCCTGTAAAATTCTAATTTTGGAGACACAAGGTTTTCTTCCGACAACACCGATTTATATTCAAAAATTGCCTCATAAATGATTCTAACATTCCACATTTGGTGCATATGTTGTATTTGCACCAAATTATCTGACTCTGTAAGCTATGTATTGGTATTTCGCATCTGAGTGCAGCAGCACATCTGAGACACATCCAGGCCTTAGGAAAGGGTGGGAGAGCACGGGAAGCAAGGGAAGTGGAGGATTCCAAACATTTTGAAGAGCTTGAAAGCCTGTGTGGAATTTCATGCTGCATTTGATAAATAATCCCCACGTTTTGAACGTCTTGATTCAGTATGATCTCCAGGTTTTTGGGGACGTTGCGTCAGCCATGAGAGCTCTCTTTATGAGATGATTGTTAGGTGTTTCGTTTGCATGACTTTTATCAAAGATGCTTGAATTTCCCCCTGGTGACATGCTTAGTTTTTGTCAGATTGAGTAAGAGGATGAAGAACATCAGAGGTTAGTCAGGTTTACCTCTTTCTGACTGGGTGCAAGTTTCAAGACACACTCAGTTGCCATATGTGTTAACCTCAAACACATATCTTGGGTTTAATGCAGGAAGTGATGAGTAGTATGCACGCACAGCTAGCTCTGTGACAACCCCAAATAAAAAGGCATTAAGTTGATGGGGTTCTTTATGACTCATTTTCTTTTTTGTGTTCTCCATTTCTCTGTCTCTGTCTCCAAAACACTCTGTAGTATGTCCCAAAACAATGGATACAGGGTACTATCTGTAATGTCTTTCTGTAGTATCATTATGCATGTTAGTTGGTAGTGTATCAGAGCCTATCAAGATGCAGTACTCATTTGAATCACCGATACCAAATGTTCCAGTAAGCAAATGAGTCTAACAAGCATTGACAGGACTGCTGTGTCCTATGTGGAGCTTTATAGTGAATGATGTCCTACATAGCTACTCATTAGCGGTAGGAAGTATTGCTGCTGTTTTGCATATTGAAGCTTTCCAAGTGATCTGATGGAGCTCCTCTTCCTGCAGGAATAGTTTTATCTTTGCAGGTCAGAGCGTCCGACACGCTTCCTGCATGTGCAGGGTTTGTAATGTGAACCTGCTGGGTTAAGTGGCAGCGTTGTGGCACCTCAAATGTAAAGATAGAGTTTAGCAAAAAGTCAAATTCACACAATTTTCCCTTTAGCAAACCATCCAAGGCCTGTTTGACTGCTTCTTTGTGCTTGAGCTACAAAGCTAATGTAGCTATACTAACTATCTCACTAGCATTGTCTGCCCTGCGTGCCTGAATCATCACATTTATTTCAAACCACATAGATATCATTAAGTAATCTCAAACAGACTTACTTATGTGGTTCCTGACAAAGTATGACAAACTGTTAGCTATAAAAATGCACAAATGTACACTGCATAGCTGAAAACAGTGCTAGCAGCTAAGCAGAAGCCTGAATTTTGTCTTCACTTTGTGTAAACTTGTTTTTCCTCCACAGAACTATCTCTTTAACAGTCATTGTCAAGATTCTGGTCAGGGGTTCTGGTCCTTTTTGGCCAAAGCCAGCCTCAGGCCAAGTTTTTTTTGTCCTACAAAAACAAACTGCTTAGCATTGATTAGCCCAAGCCAAACTACCTACTTAGCAGGAAAGGATTTTGTCAAAATCTGACAGGCTACTGTTGGATGACCTGTTCTACTTCATGCCACGACAGCAGGAAATCTCTCTAAAAGAGAAGTTTCTGAAGGCCAAGTTTCAGTTTGACTTGTTAAATGAGGATGTATTATGTGTGACCAGTAGCCTGAGGTCACCCCCTAACTGCAGACGTTGGAAACTGTCGCACAAATTCTGTTTCCCTGAGGGGTGAATAGGGGTGACACCAAGCATTCATTTTAAAGCAGATTCAGTCAAATAATTAACATTTTGATGTAAATACTGGCTCTGAAAGCTGCTCTACACTTCCACATATTCAGATTTCACACATTTTGCTGCAGAATGGCTGCTGTAGGCTTGTTGATACCCAAATTTTAAAATTGATAGCGTAACAATATGATACAGTCCTTGTATAAACATTGGTAGTTCATTGGTCGGAACATAAGATATTCAACTTGAAAAGCTTTTATTTTTCAGCCTGCAAATTCAGTTTTTTCTGTGTCAATGTCAATGTTTAATGAATGTGGAATTGTTGGAGTCATACTGACACATTCGTCTGTTAATAAAGTCATACAGGTAGTGAGATACAGTTTTGTCATTAAAAACTGCAGAATGGACCTACCAGTCCATTATGACTCATTGTTTATGTACCTGATCCCTGTGTACATTTACTGACCTACACATGGTCAACACCCTCTGCACGCGAGCCAGTCTCATTCATTTTCCTTTGTTTACTTACTTAGCTGTTTGTTTCTTGCAGACATATGGGCTGCACCACCAGGATGAGAACTCTGTGGAGATGTGCACATTCGTCTGCAAAGTCCACGAGGACAGTCCAGCCAAGCTCGCCGGCCTTAAAGTTGGTAAGTGTGTGTAAAGTGCATTAACACTGTTTGGTTAGGCGGTCTCTCTCTAAACTGGCATTTGTCACACAGGCTAGAATAAAGACCTACTAAGCAGCAGCCTAAGTGATGAAAATAACCCTTGAATGCATACTTCCCCCCCACCCTGCTAAAGTTTTCCAATGTTTTATTTTAGTCTTTTTATTTCTATCATATCAAAACCTTTTTAGTACAGTAACCCAGCATAATCTAAACATTTAGCCAATCAGCTTTTAGGATCTGAACTGATCAGTTTTATAAATAAGTGCCTAGTCACTACCCACTGGGACAGATGAATCATTCAACCGAATTGGTTCAAAGTTGAAAAACAAACTTTTGACTTTTAATCGACTTGAAATTTATACTAAATTATTTTTGTTTTGAGTGACTTCATGCCTTAATTATGTTTATTTTATTAAAATAAATGAATGACCATTTTGTCACTATAAAAACAATCATAACACTACTGACACTACCTACTTATGTTTCAGTAGCGACTGTTTCGGTAGTGACAATTCAAGCTATTTTTTAGCAGAACTCAAAAATGCTAGCCAGTACATGACTAGCAAACACAGCTTTGAATATTTGTACACACATAAAATCATAATATTTTTCATTAAAACACAAAAAGTTTACTTAGGTGCACAAAGTATGTGTTTTAGTAGTGACGATTCTTAGTGTTACATACTGATTCTTCAGACTTTGGGACACGTTAACTTCAAAACAGTAGGATCTAACTGCTTCCGTGTGGCCATGAGGGACAGGGATGCAGTCTCACTTTCTGCTCTAAAATGCAGGGGTGTGGCTAAAATAAGGCTCCGTCCATGGACTAAAACCCTTTGATGCGGTAGTGACATGAAAATATGTGACAGCATTTTTTTTAGTTTTTTTAGTTTCAGAATTAAAGTCATGGTAAATCTAAATGTTTCAACTTCACTTCAAAAGAAATCAAAAAGATCTTTAAAACATTGAATAAAAACAAAAGTAAGTATTATTTTAACAAGTGTAAATTTAGGGGTTAGGGTTTGGGACGGACACCTGCTAATAGAAAGTACCCTATAAATGATGATTTTGTATATTTAGCTTATTACTATCTCTGTTAATGCCCTGAGTTTAAACAGATCATCAGATTAAGGGGCAAGACCAGTTTCCTCCGTTTCAGCTTTCTATGCTGATCCTTATACAAGGGGATGCCACATTTGATGTCAGTGACGGCCCTATTCCTTCTGGGAAAGCACCGATGATAAAAGGCAGTGTTTTGAGGTGACTCTGCTAGCGTGTGTGTCTGCCCCACCCTGTCTTGTTTTGTGACCTGAAGGCCTTCTGTCACTTCTCTGTGTCAACACAGAGAGAGATGAGTGGCCTACTGTTTAGGGAAATGCAAACATCACCTATGTATCTACCTGTTTTTCCGTCAACGAAACCTGCGGTGCTCTAGTAGTATCAGCTCAGAGCTCACAGACATCCGGACTTTTCTCTTTCGCACAGTAACACCGGAAGGCTTTCAGGCGTGAACTCAGTTCCTGCACGTTCACACACAGCAACCCTATTTTAATCTCTCGAAGATTTGCGCTGAACATAGTGCTGCTTCCTCTGGTCGCCTCAAACAAACGTGGTCTCTGTATTCGTCAGGGATATTTATCAAGAAGACATTTACACAAAGAGGCTTATTCCACAGTAACCTCCAGTGACCATTAAAACCTAATTAAGGCTTAATTTGCTTTCCTTGCTGTGTTTTCATGCTAATGTCAAATTTGATGTCCTTAGTTTAATTCAGTGATGAAGTTTGGTGACTCATGTAGTTTCTTGCATAATAAGTCAACAGCAATTTACACTAAACGTCGTCCAGTATCAGACGGCTTGCCTTTGTTTTTCCATAAACATGTTTTTGAGTCCTTTTGATCTTGTGAGCTCATTATATTAACAGTTTTGCCCATAATACAGTGTACAGGAAGGAAATCTAATATCTGCAGACTGCATGTCTATCATACCATTTAAGAAGACAAGCATATTGTTCCAAGTACAGGTTGTGCTTATTTTCTGATATCTGATGAGTTAGCCCCACCCAAAACTATTGAGACCCAATCCTAACTGATCTCTGATCAGCTGTGTGTCAGTGTCTGTTAGTTTCGCTTCCTACATTCTCTGCATGCTTTTCTCCATTGTCCTCATTGGCCTTCTTCTCTGAGACGCATGACCTCATCAAATGTGCTAGAACAGCCCACAGCTTTGAAAAGGGAAAAATGACATTCAGAACTAAACACACTCCAGAGCTTCTAACTGTTTTTGTGGAAAAGCTCAAACCAAGCCAGACTCAAAATGGCTATAAAACAGCCTCATCATAGACTGTGCTACCAAAGAACGTTGAGTGTTGTCAGGGAAGTTGGAAAACCTTCTTGTGCCAGGTGCTGAGTGCCGTGAGCCCACACAAGAAGGATCAGCATTAGAGGGGAGTTCCACCCATTTCTCAAAATCTCTGCATAACTTTGTCCTTCAGATGTGAAGTCATTCAGAGTGTGAAGTGGTTCATTGCAGAGAAACTAACCAACTCACAGTTTTATATGTGATATTGATATTAATAAAATAGTGGTAAACGGGAAAAAAACAACTTTTTTTGAGGACTGTTTTGTCTAAATGTGCCCTCTCAATGTCTTTTAAAGACACTAAACGCTTGGGATTTCTCAATCACCATCGCTGTGAACAGTGCATTGATCGTAAAAATCTGAGCAGAATGTTTCTTTGCAATTTATCATATTTTTGCAGTGATTACTTGGCAACTTGCATGATAATACATGATGTATATTTTACAATATCTCTCCTACTCTGCACGTAGTAAATGCACCCACTTATGTGCATTTTGCTTTTATATTCCTAATATATGTTTTCAAAACTTTGAAAGGCTATGCATGGTTTGTTGTTCATTAAAGCCAGTTGTTATTGTTATGTCTTTTTCTAATTCTGATTACTCAGTTCATCTTAATCCCTGATTACTAATGAAATCAATGGTGCCCTACAGACTGCTGTGAAAACCCCACCACTGAATGAACCAGTGTGGATGTTTTCCATCTTAAGCACCACTTAAAGGTGCTAATTTTCAAAATTTCTGCACAATTCAACTGTTGCAATGTACGCAAAGTCATTCAGAGTGATTTGATGTGAAATGTTGCATTGTAGAGAAACTTGCTATCTCTGATTTCTTTACAGTGGTGGTGATAGGAACCAGGTGACATGTCTACTGCACTAAAATAGCAGTTTTAATTGCTATCAAAAATGATAAGTGAACCTACACGTCTTGTAAATCCAATAAAATAACTTGTGATGTTATCATTAATTATAATGTCCTGCATCACTGCGCCATCAGGGCATTACAAAATACGCTTTACGCCAAAATACCAATACTCTCAAAACTATCATCAGATGTCTCAGGTGTCAGGCAGTGTATTCATAACAAATTTTAATGTAATAACTTTCTATGAGGGAGCTTTTGGAGGCATTAAACGCTTCAGATGTCTGCTTTGTATCACCACCACTGCAGTAAGTTTCTCTAGAATGGTGCATTTGGAAGAAAACAAACACTCTTTACAGTTGATTTCTCCAGACTTCCACTTTAACACTGTTGTTCTTTCTCATTCATTCACAGGAGACACCATCGCCTGTGTGAACGAAACCTCCGTTGAAGGATTTCGCCACAAGGACATCGTCCAGCTTGTCAGGTCGTCAGGCAACACCATTAGGTGAGCACACCCTCAGTCACGTTCTGGAGTTGGTGCGTCCTCTTAGCGTTCGGCGTGAGGTTACGTGTTTCATAAAGTGAGATACGAATCTGCTTCCTCTGCTGATTCACTCCAAATTACTTAAACACTTTGGTCTTTCTTTTTTCATTAGCATAAAGAATTAGCTCGGTTAAGCTTGATTGGAACCACACTCTCGTTCTCTCTCGGCTAATAAAAGATAAAAGGCCCGCGTAAATGAACCTCCATTTATAAACTGAAGGAGGGGGCCGTTATGTGAACCACATGAACGGGGAGCAGGGCATGGCTTTCCTCTCTTCACGGCCTTAAGCACAATTTGCCTCAGTGTTCAGGGCACAAAAGCAGTGCTGTAAATGAGAAAGTTATCAGCCTAATAAAACAAAGTTCCCCCTTCATATCCGTGTCACCGAAGTTGCAAACTGGTCTTGAAATTGGATACATGTGGGGGAGCTGGGCCTTGTAAATCGCTAAGCTCGGACCCAGACACGTTTGTTGTCTGGGGTCTAATGTTAAAGGAGAGGTTTACACAAGGCTGTGAGATTTCTCTTAAAGGGGAATTCCACCCATTTTGCAAAATTTTCAACAAAATTTAATTAGTGAGATGTAAACAGAGCAATTCAGAGTGGTTTGATGTGAAATGGTTCATTGTAGAGAAACTTAACTCATTTTCTTTACAGTGATGATGATGGGAACCAGGGATCATGATATCTGCAATGCAAAATCCAAAATTATGCTTTTTTACAAGGTCTTATGCATCAAGCAGCATATTCATAACCATTTTCATAACAGCTTTCTGTGAGAGATCTTTTAGAAGTATTAAATGTTTTGGACATTGGTTCTTCTCACCACCACTGTGAGCAATTCTGACTCTGTAAGTTTCTCTAGAACAGAGAATTTCACACCAAACCACTCTAAATGACTTTGTTTACATCTTGGCGACTGACTTAGGCAGACATTTTGAAAATTTGATGGAACTTTTTAACCAGTTTTGTATCTGCAGTATTGGAAACATTATTAGTTACCACAGATATTAATTTCTTTATACTTTGAAAAGAACACAAAACAGTTGAAGCCAATGGGCTGCACATTGGCTTCTGTTTTCATTCCGAGTCAACAGGTTTTACAAAAAAAATCCACAATTATCTGAAATAACCAACTGTATGATACAGATGTAACTAAGAGAGACTGAAAAATGTTTTTACTGCCTATTTGATGATTTTTTTTTAATAAAAGAGCCTTTCTAGTATATAAACATTGTCAAATGTCTATCCCCATCCATACTGTCCATATATGGAAACTAATATGCAATAACAGCCTGTATTAAAATTCTTGTTTTTGTGATATCACAAAAACCGGTGTATTTAGATATATCCCACTGTAAAGTTTGTCCTCGCCCAATAATGCTGAAATGAGTGTTTCAGCCTGGACTCCTTTTTTAAATGAGGCACAAAACAAGGCAGCCAAATTGAACAGGGCTCATCTACATGTATCAAAGGCACAGTAACAAAAACAGCCTGATTACAGAATCAAGTGAAAATGAATTATGCCTTTTTTGGTACATAAGCCCACACAAGTGTCATAAGTGGACCTCTGGGGGATGGGAGGGGTTCTGATGCAACCTTATGTGTAAGTTGAGTGAATTAACTGATTCAGTACTGCACTGAAACTCAGGAAATGGTGTGTCACAGTTGATTGATCATGCTACTTTGTCATTTCCAGATTAGAAACTGTATATAGCAACACAATAAGGAAAGCAGAACTTGAGGCCCGCCTGCAGTATTTGAAGGTAAGCATCTCACACAAACGCACACATAAACAACCATTGTTTCAGAAGCAACTCTGATACCCTGTACATAGAGCTGCATGGCAGCCTTTTATACATTTCTTATACGTGTTCTGTCTATAATAAGTCTGTGACCATAAAACGCACACCAGCTTTAAACTGTAGTATGCTACGGCAGCCCCACCCGTCTCCTCACGCCACACCTGTTGCCGTGCCTGTGCCTTCCTAATCCCCCCAACATACCAATCCACAGCTGAACGAGCACATTCGAGCAGAACCACCACTCAGCCGCACATTCCTCTTGGCAGAACAGCAGGGCCTTCTGGTGAAGCAACTAAAGCAGAAGTGGCTTATAACACGATCACAACACTACACAAGTTTTAGACCTGTTTTCAGCAGAGCTGTTGCTTAAGAACATGTCTAGACCACAATGTGTGACAAACAAAAAAATATTGCAACTTCCTGACAGACTTTAGTGCATATTTACAGCTTTGGTAGTACATTTTTTACGTTTGACTGGAATTTAATGTCCGCTAGCAGAAATTAGCATTATCAGAGTTTTCACATTCATAACCTAAACTGAAGGCCTGCCCTGAATAGTTACAGTCCATTCCTGCTTACAGAACCATCACATACTTACAGAAACACACAGTCTTCGTAATTGTGATACGAATCTCTTTACATTAAAGTTGACATCCACATAACTCCTTGCTTAGGAGGAGGCTTCTAAAATAGAGCCACATTAAAAACACATGCGCAGGAAACAAAGTGGTATGCGTCGACATGCGAGGATATATCACTAGCTTCCAAATTCTTCAAAGAAAACTCTTGAGTAGCGTCTACAAAATGTGATGCTGTAAAATCCACAAACATTGTTAAGTTCAGCAGCTACATCTTGCTCCAAAAGTCTCCACATAGCACACAAAGCAGGCAACTGCTTGCAAAAGTTTGTTTTCCGTTAGACTGATTAAACTTGATGCATGAAAGTGACAATCAGAATGCAACTGATAGTTGTGGCCAGCATAACAATAGATACCAGATGCTCCATACATCTGTGGGCGGGGCATTTGTGGCAAAGACTAAGTAAATGCTGACATTGAAATGAGCTTTTAATACAGAACAAACATTGTGTAGCACATTGTACACAGCTAGCATTGTGTTCTGTCCTTAAACATCACTTCTGTTTTCTCATTTAAAAAAGCCCGTGTTCTGTTTTAGGCTGTTAGCTGTGACGCAAAATGGTCAACATTTTGTGTGATGTTCTGTTATTCTGTTTTTCCAGCAAACGCTGCATGAGAAGTGGGATGAGTACCGGTCCCTGATGGTGCAGGAACAGAGACTTGTTCATGGTGAGGCTATTTTTTTAGCTCACTCTATGTGAGTCATTATGAAACATCATCTTCGTATGTGGTCTATATATAAGGCTCAATAGGTTTATCTATAGTACGCAGCCTTATTGAGTCTGTTGAGATAAAGTGTAGCAGTTATATGCTTTAGTATGCCTGAATCTTCCTTATATTCTGCTCTGTGTTTGTGTGTTAAAGTGTCAAAGCAGACTTCATAGTACACTCCATTATGCTAACACGTGGATTAGGTTTGTAGCGCCTGGTTAGCAGCTGTATGTTTACTGCCACCGTTAGACGGATCCAAACCAGTTCTTTGATCTTGTACACCAAAGTTCAAATGCTGCCATAACACATTTTACTGTTTATATGCAAGGTTAAAAGGGTCAACATAATGGAAAAACAAATTTTCCTTATGTAGCATGTAAGCATTGTTAAAGTTGTAAAAGATAGCCATCACTAGCCATCCATGTATGGCAGAGGTGGAGAATTCCAGTCCTGGAAGAACCAATTCCTGCACAGTTTGGTGATTTTTTCCTGCTCAAACACACCTGATTTAACTCCGTTAATTGCCAGGTTTTGTCAGAGAGTTGTACTGTATTTATATGTTTCCATTTAAAAAAAGACGCCGTTCGGTGCCCCATAGCGGTATGTGTATAATACAGTGTTTGGCATCCACGACTCCCAAAAAAGTCAACATCTAGTTTATTCTACTGGCGTGGTTGATGGCCAAAGTTGGGAACTTTGAACTCTTAATAGAATGTTCCGCTAACCACTGCGATATGTTGCCATTGCTGCTGGCAGTGGCAAAATCTTTCATCACAGCTCCATTGAAAACAATGGACTCTCCAGTTTGCAGTCAACTGCCTATTGCCAACATATAAACGCAGCAATAAAGCAGGAAAAACATCAAATTGTGCAGGACTCAAAACATTAGCTGCACAACCCTGATATATGGAAATCAAGCTGCAAATACAGCTGGTTTTGAATTTCTCATGTTTATGATGTCACCACAAACACATTTATGACTTAATTAATCCTGCCCATTCACTGTGAAGTGCTGAGGAGTGTTGTTACTGCTGGGAGCCTCTAGTGTAGCTATTAGAGTGTGGAAAACACTTAATCACTGTGCTGTTCCTGGCTGTCAGGAAACATCTTATTACAGACTTCCTAAGAATCCACACACCCAAAAAGAGTTGATTGAAGTTTTTTAAACTGCAGTTTATTTTCTCTGAAGTAAGAAAACTATAGAATATGGGTAAAATGAGTTGCTCCATGAAACATGACCACATGTGACATTGCCTAACCGGCTGTCTCTCTGTCCCCTTTTCCAGGTATTGTAATGAGTGATGTGGCTGTGTATGAATCCTTGGAGTCGGCCGGTATATACGGCAGCCTCGGTGCTCCGAGTCCAGTAGTAATGCGTGCCCTCCGCTGCACTGGCACAGGCAGTGCCAACAGCAGCATCAGCCACCTCAGCTCAGCCACCGGTGATGATGATCCTCTCTACCAGACCTGCTTCTACCTGGGAGGAAACGGCAGCAACAGTGACATGTCCAGTAACCCTGGTGAAGCTTCTGAGGAGAGGCCGCAGTTGGGGCGCCAGCGTCTTCTCCGGCCAGCCAGCGAGCTGTTCGCCTCGGCCAAAACCTCACTGACCCGCAGCGCCAGCACACGCAGCTACCTGAGAGGCTCTTCAGCAACATCTTCGTCAGCGCCTACAGGAGAGAAGCAGCAATGTGGTGCTTTCAGCTCATTGCAGAGGAAGCCAAAACAGAAAAGCTTTAGGCGAAGACTTCTAAAGTACATCCCTGGCCTAAACCGACCTTTAGAGGAGGAAGAGAGCAAACTTTGAATGTCTCAGGATCATAGACTTGAACATGCAGCCAAAGACTGCAAAGCTAAACACCAGGAACATGCCATTTAAAGACTGAGACACGCAGCCAAAGACTGCAACATAAACGTGTATTCAAATGCCATAGCTTCTGGCAGCTTGGAAAGACCAAAATGGACACCAGGACAACCCAAAGAATGCGGCCTTTCAGCAGATCCAAATGCAGGTCAAATGGATGCTCCACCATAGGAACAGTTGTTACCCTTCTATGGAATTGCTTGTTACTTTGGGAACGTCAGGAGTGCTTCAGTGTAGCTACTATAAGAAATGCCTTCAGTTCACCCAAACCAACTATTTCTTTGCAGTTATTCATTGTAACAATTAATAACAAGTTTATTTTCCCTTACTTTTGTTCAAAAAAGAGAGAAAAATTATCTGTGTTTTGAAATTGATTGATTACTCCAGCTGGCCAATTCTTCGTAGTATACTCTTAAAGAATGTGCCACACAGGGCTCTTTGAACCCTCTTTTGGTGCCATAGAAGAACCACTTTTGGTTCCTCCGAAGAACTATGTTTGAAAACGAAAGCATGAAGAGCCTTGAAATGTCACACAAGTAAAGGTTCTATACAAATTCTGATGTAAAAAGGTTCACGTCACATCTCATTTACAAAATCGGTTCTTCTATGGAAGTGCTTTCCAACCTGGTCTACATTTTTGCTCCAGCCCAACTCACAACACACAGAGATGAAGATAAAAAGTTTGGACCATCGTGGGGGAACCTGAGGACAAAGTTGGGAACCACTGTTCAGTGGCGTAGAACCCTTTTTGGCACCCTTATTTTTGAGAGTGTAGTTATATAACCCTAAATTCTGATGCAATTGTTTTCTAATATTTATGCAAGGTATAATAATTAACAAGGCTTATAGTCATCCAGACACACAACCAGTCTAAGGCCAAAATGAAGATTTAAAAAAAACTAATTGAGAAGACAAATATTTGCTCCCAGTGCAAAAACCACAAGGAATCAAAAGCCAAAGCAACTAAAATGTGTCTAAACCTCTCTGCCCATTTTCCACACTGTCAAACTAATAACTCTGTAACTGTTCCCGACATAAGCTCTGCACTTCTCTTGTGAAGTCAGTGAACATTTGTACAGAACTTTGGTTTCTATTACGTCATTTTAAGTTATTTATTTATTTTGTGTTCTTTTGGTGTTTTTTTTTTTGGAAAGATGTACAAAGTGAAGGATTTTTTGTTGTATTTTTTATCTTTTGACTTAAAAACAGACCATTTTATTGATCAACGTTTTATAAGTGCCTTTTTGGCTGATAGCTGTATTCATCCATGTCTTTTCTACTTTTTGAAAATGGATCATGCAGAAAACAAAATCTTAAAATAAATGTGTGCTATCATCTGTTCTGTCTGGCCTGTCCTCAATTTACCCTTCCTACAGGAATCTTCACTTTCTCCTTTGTGTGTTCAGTTGCCATTGGTGCTGTTCTTGGTTTCTGACGCCCAATATGCATTTCACACAGAATTCCTCAAATAGCATACTTTGGCTGCCACATCAATGCTTTTATTGTGCAAAAAAAATTCTTCTAAATATTTTTCAGACACTATTACTATAAAGGCTGATGGTCCAAAACAATGCGCCCCTTTTGTGCTTTCATAACCTTCGCTCCATCTAATTACCTCAGGGTGGGTGTGCGTGTGTGTGATGAGATGAAGCGGCTGATTGCATTCCTGTTTCGGAGTTTACAGCTCAGAAGGCCCTTCAGCGGAGGGAAACCGAGGCTCTTTTGGTGAGCGCTCACTGAATGGCTGTTGTGAATATGCATGGGAATGTGTGGCTAAAAGAGTGACCCCCGGATTCCTCCTCTATTCTCCTCCTCTAGGCCACAACTGAACCCTTGGCCTCCATGAACGCACAATAACACGTTCTCCTGGTGCTTTGAGAGGATACAGAGGGTTTTGTCAGTAGAGCTTTTACCTCAGTGTCATGCCTGACCCCAGAGGTCACCTAATTCCCCTCCATGACCATCCTTTCTCTAGCTTAACGTCGTTCCTGCATTGTGTCCACCCACAGCCGGTACCCACTGCGTCAGGGCCTCTTTGGATGGCCATTGGCTGAGGCAAGTAGGCCCATACATGTGTAAAAGTATTGTTTCTTGGTGAAATAATGACTCAAGTAGAAGTAAAGTAGGCTAGCAGAATTCAGAGATCTAGCAGAAACCTTTAACTAATACAGAGCTTTGGCATTATGTGGAAGTTCTTTACACCATTTTCAGGTTTCCTCACTCTTGGATATCTCATTAATGAAAAGGGTTTGTTAATGAATCACACATTTAAGTGTCATTTACTTAACAAAACCTGGATCTTCTAAGATATTCCTTGAAAAAAACCCTTTTTGGCACACCTCAGGTGTGTAAGGCCTCTGGTTTCTTTTCTTTTTGGGATCCTTTTGGTCTGAAACAAGGATGCCAAACTCAACCAGTAAAAGGGCCATATTAAAAAATCTCATCAAATCTGTGGGCCAGAGAAAAAATGTTTTTATTTCATTTTTAATTAATGATGTGCTACAACTCAAAGTGGCCATTGTTTATTCAAAATATACAAAATACAGACACTTGTAGTAGACCCTAAAATATTACATGGTCACCTGAAATATTAAAAATTTAAATGTCCCCAGGAGTTTCCTTTTTAAACCTACCTATTTGCTTGAAGTAGACACCTGGCATCCTTTCTTTGCTCCAAGTTCATTAAGACTTCTGAGCTGCTGAGCTAATGTTAAGTGTTTATACTGACTGAACTGCAGATGAAACAGTGTATTTGGTTATATGACTGGTGTGGAATTGTGCAGACCTGTGTAGAACTGAGGTGTAACCGCTATCCTATAGACTGTTGTTGGGGAAGGAGAGTCAGAGCGTACATTAAGTTGCAGTGCATGCTGGGGACTGTAGTGCAGTGCACTGTGAAACGGGCTAATATTAATAGAAAATTAAAATATTTGTGCGGGCCAGATAGGATTGTGTGGCAGGCCTTGTGTTTGACACATGGGGCTTAAAATAAAAGGCTAATTTCGAGATTGTTGTAATATTATAAGCAATATTGTCTACATTATGTCCAAAACCAAAAAAAAACAATTTCTCTAGACAAAATGACATAAAACAAGTAAAAATGTCTAGAAAGAAGTTAAAGGGCCCATATTATAGAAAACCTTTTCCTTTTTAATAAAAGAGTTTAATGTAGTTTCTAAGTGTTGTTAAATTTAAAATATGTACCTTTTTGGGATGTCATTTACATACATCTGCCTATTCAGCCTATAACGGTTTAGCCCCACCCATTCACACTGAAGAAAATCTATCAGGATGTTACTTAAAGAGGAATTCCATTGATTTTTCAAAATTTCAGACAGTTATTCAAAGGTATTTGTTGCTTGTTGGAATTTAATGCCTCTAAAACTCCCTGACAGAAAGTCATTGCATGAAATTGTTATAAATATGCCGCCTAATGCCTGAGACATTGTTGTGCAATAGATTTTGGTCTAAAACATATTTTTTAATTGTTCAAAGTGGAGAAGTATGTACAGGTCATTGCAGGGCAGATAGTCCCCAAAGAAAACTAAAAGACCTTTTCAGATTTATCACTATTTATCATCAGCATCACATCTAAAAAACGTAGGAGACATGGTTGTTTTAGACAGTAAATAAAATAGCTATATTTGTGTGTGACCACTGTAAAGACATCTGAGCCAGTAGGTTTCTCTACAATGAATAATCTCACATCAAACCACTTGAATGACTTCATTTGCATCCTGACAGCTGTATTATGGAGAAATTTTTAAAAATAAGTGGAATTGACCGATAAGTCCACGTAATTGAGTAAATATAAGTATGGCTACCCAACCCTGACCACCTGTGGCCTTTGGGCATGCTTTGATTTGTTGCACTATTGTCTACACTGAGTGGCGGAGACACTGGGGGTAAGTTGCTGGCTGACGTAAACGATGACTACACTTGGGTCTTTAAGAGTGTTTGGAGTGAGGTGGGCAGTTAAATGACCTGAATGCAAAACGAGGGCACTGTGAATCTAAATAGAGTTGTAAAGAGCTGGACAATAGGCAGGCAATCATCACAGGGTAATTAGCCCAGCTAGTGTGTGTGTGTGTTTTTGTGTGTGTGTGTGTGGGGGGGGGCGTTAGGAACATGATGGAGGTGGAGCTGCTTGCGATTCTTATTTATAGAAGCATGCGTGTGTGTGTGTGTGTGTGTGTGTGTGTGTGTGTGTGTGTGTGTGTGTACGTAGGTATCTATTTTCTGTGGCCGTGTGGTTGATGATGTAGATATCAGACAGCAAACTGCACCAGAACAGACATGTGGTGACCAGATCAGCACCAACAGATGATAATGCTTCATGTTCCACATAACTGAGTGAGCTAATAGAATAAGATCAAGAGAAAATCAAGCCTGTGGTGCCTTGTTGTGTCCACTGTGCACAAAGGCCTTTGTCCTTGTGTCACAATAACTGGCAGGCAGAGCTAAGGAGGAAGTCCAGGCAGCAGGGATTTGGCCAGTGTCGTTACAGAGTCACTGGAGTTCTTAGCCTGACTGATCCTTCAGCTTCCTCCTACTCACTCACAAACATTCTGTGTCCAAGAGTGTGTTCCTAATTACGCCTTAGAGAGCACTGCAGTGAGTAGAAGTTTCCAACTAATAGCTCCATTGTGTACATCACATGGCAAAAATGTCCCATTGCTAACAACAGCAGCAGTAGCCATTTCAAAGTCTCATTTTTGTCAGTACTTTTGCTCATATGTATTGATATGAGCAAAAGTTCATATTACACAATCTCAGAAACCACATAAGCACCTTTAATTGAGATTGCATATGATATTTTTTTCACACGATTGCTAATAGGAGCAGCATTATCACATGTTAGCTAAATTTCCTGCATTGCTTGTTAGCTACGTCAGCCTCATAGCAACAATGTAAAAGTAATGACTTGAAAAACCAAATTTACACAATTTTCCACTTACCCCAGGTCTAGTCAGTCAGTTAAATGTCCAAATTTTGCTTCTTTAGTTTAGCACTGCAGCTATGAGGCTAATGTTTGTAGCAAACACTACAAGTCAGTAGATTCTTCCCTAACAGAATCCGGTCTCCATCACAGATATGTGGATGCTAGATTACAACATGCTGGTTTTGGTAGTGATCAGAATGATAACTTCCGTTACTGCTGTATACCAATATACCAGCGTCCAAAACACAACACAATGCTGGTTTTGACAAGTTCTAGTGTTTGTTAACAACATTAGCCTGGTAACTCTAGTGCTAAACTAAAGAAGCTTTGACTCCAAATGTGTCTTGGCTGATCTTTATCTGAGGTCAGTGGAGCCAGTCCTTTAAAGCCTATGTTAAGGGGAAAACAATTTTTTTTTTTACTTACCTAGTCTATTTCTTTAACTAGTGATTTTTTTTTTGTTTCTCACAGTAAATTTTCATGTTGGTTTGTTTGTCTACTTCTACAAAAAAACAATGCTAGCTATAAGATAATTGAAACACCCTGCATTTTATCTCATCTTGACTAATCAAAAAAGTGATTGTTATGCATATATGTGTTCTGTTTACAAGAGTCAAGAATGTGGGTGCTCTCAGTTCCTCAGCATTGTTGCTGTGTTGTTATGGAGATGCTCTCATTTCTTCAAACAGTTGCACGCTAAGCTTAAACAGGGGTCACTTGTTCTCGGTGCACTGCAGCAGTGGTGTCACACTGATATCCTGTTGTCCTATGTTGTCAAAACTAACAGTGAAATTTGGCAGGTTTGAAATGACAACACTGAATCGGCCATCATAAAAATGTTAGCTAATAAATTGCATTGGAATAATATAATAAAAAGAAATCAGAAAATCAAAGAAAACATCACACAGGAATATAAAACACTGGAAAATATACTTTACTGTATACAGTTGTATGCAAAAGTTTGAACACTCCCAGCCAATTTATAAGTTTTGTGGATTTAGTAAGTGAAAATAAGTTAACACATCCTCTATATTGAACTTAAATATGTCAATATTTTTCAGGCACCGTTTCTATTTGCTTCATAACTTTTGCACAGGCCACATATTAATTTATTTAAATTCAGCAATAAAATGTCAGTTCTGTGCAATAAAATGTATCTTCTGTAGGGGATATGTTAACTTATTTTCACTTAGAAAATCTAGAAAACTTGTCATTTGAACAGGGGTGTGCATACTTTTGCATAGGACTGTAACTTTTCATATGGCCACAATACAAATTTCATATGAAATTAATAACATGCTCTAAATTTATATATTTTGATGCAAGTTGAGTTCTGTGCTACGATTTCTCATTTGGTTACTATAAAACAATGCTAATGTAGGTGGAGCCTGGA